AACGACACCGCTGTAAAAAATACGCTGATGGACTTTTAAAGTCACGATCCAAAAATATTGTAAGAGATTTGTAAAATCATTTTCGTTCTGATATTTCCCAATGAGTTTGTAAAATAATATTGCAATCATTTTCCGTCTAATCATGTTCTATCCTGATAAATATTCTGCGAAGTTTCTCAGATAATTATTACTATATCGCAAGATTTTAATCCCTTTGATGTAAATTCTCGATAGTTCCAGTATTGATTAAATTTCATTTACTCGCGGCCAAATTCTGCTGATCGAAACGAAACAGAGGTCTCCGACGGGGGCCCTAAATATTTTCTAACGTGATTTTAACGTTGGACGAAAGTCGAGATTTATCTTCCCCGAAGAGCACGAAGATAGAAAATATCTCTACGTTTCGCAGTCGTTGAAGTTGAAACGTTCCGAAATGGAATCGCGTTATGCGGTATTATTTCCCGTACTACATGTACTCTAGATTTTACAGAGAGACGGAAAGAGCGGCTTCCGGAAGAATTTTTCCACCGACCCCTTTCGCGTATTTTATGAAATTTCTCAGACGTTCTACCCTTAAATAAAATTTTCCAACTTCTCCCGCAAGGGAATTGTTTGCTTGCCAGAAGAGTACAAACAGAACCGAGCCCACGTTTTAATTTATTTCCCCTCCCCAACGAGGACGGAATCACGAACAAGACTACGCGTGCCAGAAATAAAAATTTCGAGGATACTCTACTGCTTCACTTTGAAATTTAAAAATTTTTGCATTACTTCGCATTTCACCGTACTGTATTGTACGCTCGTATTTCGCTCGTAAACAAACACGTGGCTTTTATCATTTTTTCCCTGACATGGAGCTATTTTTCAATTGAGCAGAAACTTCAAAAAAAGTACAATGGCGGATAGGAGAAAGTCCAGGAGCCCGATGATGGTAATAATAATATTTAATAATTTTAAAAATCGAAGCATCGAAGCTTTAAAAGTACGGAATTGTATTTAAAATAAAGGAATTTACCTTACTCGCTAAAGCAAGGAATTACATTAATCACAGATTAAAAAGAAAAAGAATTTTGTAAAGAAAAAGGAAGGAATCGCAGATCGAGTTGATTTTCCTTCGCTGGCTCTGCGTTGTGTAACTTTAGTCGTCCAATTTCAATTTTATCTAACAATTCTTCCTTTCCAAAATTAGCAAACAAATAAATGAATCAACTACGAGCACATATATATATTATATAAAAGATATAAAAACTTAATATTTTTTATAATAAAGGTAAGATATTAAAATATATAATTATATATATTATTAAACTACGAGCACAACGAATCCAATGAGAGTCGAACGAAACACGTTCGATCGTAATGGGGAAAAATCTTTCTCTATCGAAAAAAAGAAAAAAGAGAAAAAAAAAAGAATCGACTCGTTTGGCAGTCAGAGTTGGTTAGGTAGCAAAATGAAGGGAGGAGAGGTTAAAGGTCGTATCGCGATCGAGATCGACAAGAATGGTTGGCACATTTAAAGAGACCAGCTACCGCTATTCTCGTTCTTTCCTCTTTGTTCGCGGCTTGGAACGCGTTCGCCCTTACGTCACGATCCCCAGGTTATTTACGCCAAACTTTTACGAGAGGGCCGCTCGTAATTTTCATCTGGCGAATTTTTTTTTATGATAGCCGGTGTCGATTCGACCAACAGGTTACACGCGAAAGACCATTTGCGCGATGCAGATTGCCACGTATCTTTCTGCATCGATCTCCGCGTTGTTGTTCATTTCGTTTGTTGCTTTTTCCAAATAAATAAATTAAACAAATTTAATCAATCGAATAATCTAAAACGAATTGTTCGTTTTTATTTATTTTAAAGCGAATGGAGATCATGGATTGTGGATTAATTTATCAATTAATTACGTGGTTCCAGATTGAGTCGTAGTAAATTTTCCTTCAGAGAATTTTCACGTAACACACAGTTAATTATAAGTTAGCAGTTGAATATACGGATGAAAATTAATTTTTCCCCTTTCTCCAAGAAACTAGACAATTTTAATCAACAGCAGGTAAGGCGTGAGAGACTTTTGCACAACGTTGTATGCACGCGTGCCCACGTCCATTTGGTATGTACATCGGAAGAAGAAAAAAAGAAAGAGAGAGAGAGAGAGAGAGAGAGAGAGAGAGAGAACAGATGAGCCGACGGGATGGAAAAAATAATCGTTAAAAGACACGCAGCGCAGGGGTTATTTCTGGTGGAAAGTTTTACGAGCGAAACGCGCACCATCGCGCAATAAAGACTTCGGCCCGACCTTTGCAAGCTCATAATTTCGAAAGTCGCTTATCATTGCCAGAAGGACAATTACTTTCGAACTTGGTCTAATTGAGATCACGTTTCACACGAGAGGTTTGCAAGCGTCCGAGAAACGAGCTTGATCCTCCTTTAATGGTCGAGCGAAATTATTCAACTATTTTACAATAATTGTTCACTGTTATCGTATGTAGGCGAATTTGTAGTAATTTTGCGAATTCGCATTTTCACGAACGATAATTGTGAAATCGGACATTGCTCTATTTATTCGGTGTATTAAATGTTACTGTTAAATATATTTGGATTTATTAAATATACTGTTATTTGAGAATTGTTAAAATATATAAAATTACTTTTATATGCAAGCGTAAGTATTTTTAATATGTTGATGTAATAATATAACATCAATATGTAGATATTAACAAGTTGCGACATATTAAATATTTTATTATAAATTTAATATAAATATTATTATTATATATAATATAATATTATTATATATAATTATTATAATAATATTATATTTATATTATTAAATATGTTGTATATTTTGTCCTTAATGAACACGTTGGAATAATTCACACATCCGCATTATAAATATATTCTACTTTGAATATTTTGTACATATGTTTCTGTACGTTACGCGCACGCTATACATTTTTATATGTTTAAATTTCCCTACGAGTAAAATCCGCAGCTCAATTATAAGTTTCGAAGTTAAAAAAATTATACAGGACGTTAAACTTCTTCTTCGTCTCGTTAAACTCGCAAGATTATCTCTCACATTCTTCCAGGAGAATCAACTTCAGGGACATCGAGCAATGCGATAAACTTCGAACTTCTTCTCCGCCTAGTTAAAATCAAGAAACCATCTCATACGTTCTTCAATTAGAATCAAACTTTCAAGTTGTAAATAGTACAGTAAATATCAAACTTGGTTCTCGTAAAATTATAAAGCTATCTTCTGCGTGTTCTCATTAATATCAACTCTCAAGTTACAAAAACTTTACAGAAAGTGATCAACTTTTTCTGCGTCATTAAATATTATTAAACTTTTTCCATCTCTTCAAGCTGAAAATAATAATCAATTCTCTACCCTGCTATCGAAAATTATTGTTCTATTATACTTGCTTAATCCGACATTAAGTTTCAACGTTAAACATTACTAATTTATTGATTGATCGTAAACGGAAAATGCAGTCAGAAGAAAATCTACGTTTGTAACGATTGTAACTAACTACAATTTTTCATAATTTACTTTATACTACTTTAATCTACTTTACTTACTTTATAAAATACTTAATTACTTTTAATTTACTTACTTTATACTACTTTAATTTACTTTAATTTACTTTATACTATAAGAGTAACTTAACTTTAAAATGGAAATTTCTTTAATATTTTTGTTACCAAGGCATATATTCTTCATTGTGCTTGTTGTCGTTATTGATGTGTAAGTGATCAAATGTGCCAATCCTCGTTCATGGTATCATGGTCACCAGATCAATTAATAATACAAAATTAATTAATACCAAAAATGTACAGTTACACAGCATGGATTTCCTTTGTAAGAAAGTAAATATAAAAATAATCTATTATTACGTATTTTTCTAAAGACCAGTCATTTTGACCTGGTAGAAATAGCTTCGTCGAAACGTCGATAGTTCTAGTATTAAACGACCCGCGAGTCACAGCTGGAGCGTCAAGATGGCCGGTCGTGTAACGACATCAAGCATCAGTCGTGCCTGTCCTCGAAGTCACGCATCTCGACTTCCAACTCGCTTCGAAACGACCTCTTCTACCTCGAAACTCCTCTTCTGCGCTTATGCGCTACAGCTGTATGCGCTCCATGCACGCGGCGATCATTCGACCGCTGGATACCACGTTTAGTAGCAATATCAAAAGCTGCGCGAGCCGCCCACGTGGCCTCGCGATGAAAAATCCTCCGTCGGCGGACTTGTTGCGCGTACGCGAGCCCGTGAGTAATGCCGATGGAATTGATGAACTCGTTAACGCTCGATTTACGCTCCTCGCATCCACGGCTCCTCCCGTTTCATCATTAAGAATCGCAGGAGGAAAAAAAAAAAAGAAATATCGAAGCTTCCATCGTGCCAAACTATACAAAAATATAAAACAATCCCTCGAAATCAAACCAAGATCCGTCACTCCAAGAAAAAAAATACAGAACAACCAAACGTTCGCAAGCTCTCACCACGTCTGAATTATCTTCCTCGAGTAGTCCTCGAGTTTCCATCCCGCAATCTCGTTTGGGGCCATTGTCTACCGACGTTAAAACCCTCCGATCTGCAGGGTGTAACGTGGATTAACGACGTCGCTACCTTCGTGCACCGATGGAAACTCGAGTCGTCTCGGGTTCAAAAGGTGGCGTTGGAATGGCATCCGGCCCAGAAAAACGAGCATCCCCAGGCTGGAATGCGCGGGCGCGCGCGTGCGAGATCGACGCCTCCGCGGCCAATAAACATTGATTTATCGGCCCTGGAAATCGAACTCGGGGTGATTTGCGATCGCTTGGGCGGCGAACGCTACGTAGCTGGCTCGCTGATGGTGCCCCGTAGGGGACCCGCAGGACCTCGTGGGACTCTGCAGGTCCTCGTAGGGCCTCTCGTAGGCCTACATCGTGTCCACATGGTGGGAGACAACGGCGTACGACGGGCTATATAAGAAGACGTTCGTACCAGCGCTCACACTCTCGTAACCGTTAGCTGTGCCACGCTCGGATTATCCATCGCGCGGGAAACACACATCGGGAATATTCGAATAGTCTGCCTCCGAGTACCATCGACGTACCTGGCCCCGTGTACAGCATGATACTCGTGAGTGACATTAACGTATTTATTTGGTTACACGAGCCTCCTCTCGTGCGATTTTCGAGTACTCGAGTAGTCGTTTATCTTGAGATATTCTTTGTCGATATCCAGGCCTCAGAAACCTCGGCAAAAGTATCAAGTAAATCATCGCTCGTGCAGTTCCGAGATCATACTGTGTCCCGATCGTGTTGTAAAATTGTTTCTCTCAAACGAATGTCAAATGTTAAATGTAGAAATTACACAAAAAACGTCACCCCGAGGTAATATCCTTTCGTCCATGTTTTTCCACCATGCTTTTAAAATGGGAGATGTAATATTTGATATTTCTGCAAAATTGAAGAGCGATATTCAACGTTTTCGTAGAAATGGAGAGAAGAGTATAACATCTGTTGTCACGAAATATGAGAAATTTTACAATTTGACGAGACAAATAAATTTGTTAACAAGGGAGAATCGTGCAATACCAATCAATGCAATCTTTTTCTTTTTTTCTTTTGTTACGTACTAGACGAGACTCGGTAAAAATCACTTTGGAAACTTTAGAAACGTATCTTTTTGCAGCATCGACGAAATTATTTTTATGAAACTAAAGTGACAGCGGGTGACACTGATAAAAAAATATAATACAAGAAGAGCACTGAATTGTAAAACGCGAGTAGAAGCTTTCCAAACATTTTTAAAAGTTATACAATTTCGTGAAGAGTTGGACTGTGCACGATGATCTCGAAATAATCGGCGAGAGGATGTAAATTAGACTACGACTGTGACCAGGGTCGGAAGTTTGTCGACGGAACGGAAGTTTCGCGCGAGACGCCCTATTAATGCTGGTAAACGTTTCCGTGGAATGCTCGCGCTCCATTCAATGCCGCGTTGCTCCGCCAACTATTGGTAATCGAATCGGTTAATCGATTAGTTGTGGCTTCTCTTGATCAAGCGGAAACCACGTTCCACGCGTTTCCCCGTGGTTTAATTCTTTTTTTTTTTTATGAAATTTCCACTTCAGTCCGTTCTCAAGCTCTCTTTGTAACGGAGCTTTTGCTCTTTTCTATTCTTTCTACTTTTTTTTCTTTTCTCTTTTTCTTTTGTGAGAGATGAACAAGAATAAAAGAAGAGTGTTTAAAGATTTATTGACACGATCATTGGTAATTGAATTAATTTGTTAATTTAATCTTTGTTGAACGATTTTTGAAAATTGTGATCTCAATTGAAAATTGGAATTGAAATTCTTGATCAATTTGTATCTGTCGAAACTTCACCGATTATAAACGAATATATTTTCTATTATTTAATTAACTAAGAATGAACTGGTCAGAAAACGAATGCACTGTTTATCGAGGCAATTGATTAAAAAATTGTTAAACTACAATTAATTGCGAAATTTCTTTTGCGACGACGTCTCTTTCATTTCGTAAAATGTGGATAAATATTAAGTACGGAAACTAAACGCTACAATCTGCAAATTTGTGCGGATTGATGCGGATTAATGTTTAGTTAGGAAACGGCAGATAATCCAAATTTGATTTAGATACATCGAAAGATAAACCGATAACATTTACACTGCACTGTAACTGTTCCACGCGAGGCACAAATAAACCGATTTAGTGATCGCCGATCGCTATCATCGTTCTACATAGCCCAGAAATGAAAGATTCATAGTAATCGAGTCGTACGTTCGTGTTCTACGCAGACAGGAAACGAGTTTATCAAGATAGTGAAATTCTGTTGCACGTAGAATGTCGATATTTGCTTGCTCGAAGAATTAATATCTCATCCGTCTTGTTAGTAATTTTGTAATAACCCTGGTCTTTGCTTTTCAACTAATTTGCATACGACTGAAAATCACGTAGATTTACGTGATGAAGTTAATAATTAGCGTCGAGATATAATTACATAATTATATTGCAACAAAAGAGTTAAGAAAAACTTAATTAAAATAATTTAAAAAAAAAAGACAACTAAGATATTCTTACACTGAGCGAACGTTATTAATAAGTTATATATCTTCAATACTTGTCAACCGATAAGTTCCGTATAGCAGCAAGAAGATCGATAATAAAATTTATAAAGTTCCACTGGTGAATTTTATAAATTATAATATTACTTACTTATATTATTAGTTAATTATCATGTAATATATCGTTGAGTTTATTTTTTCATTAGCTGTCAGAAAAAATTGAAAAAAAGGAATTCGAGAAATTTTATTTGACAAGTATTTTGAAACGCAATATAATTCACTGAAAATATTTTTTTAATACCTCACAACTTATCAATTAATTAATTAACGTTGGTAGTATTCCCCAAATAAAATAATAAAATATCGTCTGTTTTAATTACACCTGTACAACTTCATCTTGCCAAACCTTATTTTTAAGATACTTGCATCCCAGCAGGTTTTTAATTATGCCACATGGAAATCCTCCGTAACGAGGAGGCCATTAGAAATATACTTGTCACGATTTCCACATTTTTTTTTCTCGATTAAACGAAATGAAAATAAGACGGCAGCTAAATCGGAGCGAGCTACGACAGAAGCGTGAGATGAAAACGCAGGGACGTAAAAATTCATAGATCCAGAATTCGCAGGATCATGAATGTTCAGACGCGAGCCACGTACAATATTTTCCATTCTTCGCGTAATGGCAGCCCCTGTAATGGCGAACGAACCGTGAATTTTCCGTAAACGTCGAAACGTCGGACAAGGGACGCGACGAAATTACGCAAGTTAAACATCGACAAAGAACCTACGTGTGTCCGCATTCGGAATGTGTTTTATCGTGCATGGAAATTCTCGATTCCACGACGGTGAATATCATATCGTCCAGCGCTCTCCAGATGGAACGCCGAGTCCGACGAGATTTTATCGCCAACCTCGTTTTCATAATGCGTCCTTTACGCGATGCTTCTCCGATATCTCTCCCCCGACAGTCTGCCGACCGGCGAGTTTTCGCGAAAAAGTTTAATTATACTGGCGAAAGCGACTGGCTCCGATTTAAGAAGCTGTCTCAGACGCAGGAAGTTTCATTTACGAAAGGAAACTAGATTTTAAAATTGAAGATTTTCGATTCTCCAGAGAGAAAGATCGTATTTAACTCTCTCTCTCTCTCTCTTTCTCTCTGTCTCTCTCCGTAACTCGAGAGTTACGTATCTGTATGAAAATACATTCGAGTTTGTGAAATTAATATTCCTTTATGTTAAAAATTAAATTGAATCAATTAAAATTTATCGAATCAATTTGTTTCAAATTTACTCAAAATTTTATTCTGCATATTTATCGTTCATCGACTATTACATATTTGATTAATTATCGTCAGATTTTTAATTCGAGCCGATAGCTGAGATTTATTATCAATCTTTTCCCCCTAAACGAGGTTCTGTTTGTTTGATATTTGTAGAGAATACGTATATCTATGGAAGGTAATTTATTTTGTAATTGAATAACATGTAAATTATAATTTGAATTATATAAGAGATCATTTGGAAACGACAATTCAATGCAAGCGAGATAGAAGTATATTTGTGTAGAACTTGTCGAGAAAGATAATTTTGAAGACGTTTATTCCAAGGTCTGGAATGAAAAGATATACGAAACGTAGAGAATACATGAAATTTCACGTAAAGGAAATTAAATTCAACGGGAAACACGAGGTGTTTAAATTTGATCAAAGGAAAGTCGGAGGGGAAATTGAAGGGGGTAACAGACATTTCATAGAAGAAAGTGTTTCCATGTAAAAGATAGGGGAGGAAATAAATTTGAAGCTCTCAAAGATATTTATTCCGTATCCATGGAAAATACAAGAGAAATCCAAGACAGCAAGATAGGAGATACATACATGCACGATCAGAAAATGCGTAGGAAATACACAGAGGAGGAACGACTAGACGATGCTTATTTCATATTTATAGATGTTTCAAAGTGCAGAAAAAACAAAAGATACAGAAATATACGAAAGACACAAGATATATTAAAAGAGATTCGTTCCATAGTTCGCGTTGCCGAATATATCTCTTAGTAGAAAATGTAAAAAGAGCATTACAGAAATATATTTCTTCTAGATAAAAACTAAAGGAGAAAGAGCAAATCAATGACATTTATGTTACATCTATATTGTAGAAAATACTTTTCTCTAAAAATACAAGAGACATATGAATTACAAAGACGTAAAAGATACGTAGAAAATTATGAAAGAAAAAAGAAATTAAATTTTAAGCGATTATCCTGTAGTATATTGCGCATCCTATGTTACATGGGATTGTATTTTGTATTGTATTTTGTATTGCATACTATAGATTGTTGTATTTATAACATTATAGAATAATATGGCATTATACTATAGAAAATGTTCCTCTGTATTGCAGACAATTCTATTGTGTACGATTTTCGGGCGAATCGATACGTCACCGATCGCGAACGTTTGGCTCAGCCCAATACGATCTCTGACGCCATTGAAGCAGTATCACATACAAGACGGATCCGGCGGATATCATTACTCATTCACGGGGCCCCATCACGCGAAATCGGAATCCAGTTTGAACGGAATCACGCAGGGTGGTAAGTCGTCGCAATTACCCTCGCTCGACGCTTGAATTCTTCATGGTAAATTCGTGGAGAGCCGTCATAACGACCATCTGTACCGCTATACTCGCGATATTCATCCGGATGAAAATGATATTTGCCTCTGAATCGTAACTGTGAATTTTGATATTTCTTTACATATCTTTTTTTTTTTTATTTCTTGTTTTCTTTTTCTTGTAAATTTGAACGGCCGATATTTTTTGGTTGTGCAATATCATTAATTGTGTCTTTATATATTTTTATATTGTTTTATGAGTTTAGCGTTCCGGCGTGAAAGTGCTATGAATTATGATATGATGTAACGAGAGTAAATCTGTTTAATTCTTGTGTAAAAGTGAACAAGAATTTTTGGACAGAACTATGAGTTTATAAATATAATATATAAGCATATAGGTTGTTGAAAAGTTGCATGGCTCTTTTTTGAAAAATTCGTTGCTTTTGCGGCTTTAATTGCAAGGGCGTGAATCTAATTTTATAAACAACGTCTACTCTACAAAATTTTTCAATTTTCGCGTCAATTTCGTGTTCACAAGTAAATTCATTTCCAACGTCTCTGTCATTTTTTTCTATCAAATCTGCTTTCTAAATGAAAAAATACGAAACAATCGAGAATCGATTAACAGACAAGAATGAAATATATCATATATAAATTTAAAGATGTAACAATTTATAGAACGCTCGTAATCCACTAAAATATCCAAGTACTCGTAACGAATTGATTCGCAACGGATGATTATTAACATCAATCAATTAGTTACAATTTCGTGAAAAATCTAAACGAAAGCTACAGGAACTTCTGAAAATACATTCGAAAAGACACCAAACAAATCTCTGCTTACGTTTCGTTTCCATGTTTTCTAACGTGCGTGCAATTACGAATGGACAAAAGGTCGTCAGAAAAATCGACAAGTTAATTCGCGGCCCCGCATATCTGTCGGATGACTCGCGAAAGCACGCGAATGGCACACATACCTTTTCCCGAGCGTTTCCGAGAGACAGACAGAACGTCCCACGTTCGTGCGCGCGGCCACTTTACAAAACGATGATCGATGTGACGCAATGAACGCCCCTGCGATAGATCCATCTTTGCTGCTTGAGCCTCTTACTCAACGCGTGCCTCCTTCCTCCCTTTTCCCTCGTTCTTTTTCACCATTGCACGTTCGACATGCCGTTCGGGCACCGGCGACTGATTGATATTCGATTCATTGTACGATGAATGAGCGAATCGGATAATGCAAACATACGAGAGTTTTATTCAATCGTTGAAGTTTTATTGCTTCTCTCTCTCTTTCTCTCTCTCGTTTTCTTTCTTTTCTAGCGTAATGATTTCTGATCTTTCTTTGTTTTCTTTTTTCTTAGTTTTAGTAGATTTCGAAGAGAAGGTGTCATGGGAATATTGTTGTTTTATTTAATAATAACAACAAGGAGAATTTTCTTTCAGTGACGGGCAAATGGTAGTTTAATAAGTTGATGAATCGACCAACGAGATATTCATAGAATTTAAATGTGTTGAACTATCGGAATTACATTCCATCCCTTTCGATAAAGTGTAGCACTTAATTAAAATCATTCACACTCGCATAAAGCTATGTTGTAACTGAAATGTTCATTCTCTGCCAATAAAATATTATAATAGATAAACCGAAAGTTACTGACCAAAATCTAATCGATAAATTAACTAATAAATTAACTAATCCACAAATCTTACTTGAATCTTCGCGCTCTCTTCTTTCGAATAAAGTATCTCATTAAATGAAAATCATCTACAGTGGTGAACTCGATTATTAAATCGAGCAAACTTGTGTAAATTGTTGTATAATTATCTGTAGTGTATGAGTGTCTTCTAGTAAAATAACATTGCTTTTATTTAGGTTATTCCTACATCGACGCCAATGGAATTTTGCAAACGGTAACGTACACGGCGGACGATCAGAATGGATTCAGAGTGAGCGCCAGTAACTTACCGCAACCGCCGAAGAACGATCTTCAGGCGATCAACGATACACCGGAAGTGGCCGCGGCGAAGAAGACTCACTTGGACGAGCTGCAGAAATCGCAGTTCGGGGACCAATCGAATTATCAATCGAACATTCTCTCTTACAAGATCCTGCCGTCCTACTTCAGCTTTGCACAGCTGACGAACGACGACGAAAAGAATCTAGCCGTACGAGAAGTCGCGGTAAGTGCATGCTTTATGCATCTTGAGACGATGGATGAGAATTAGGCAAGTTGAACTGGAAATATTTTTTTATCGACAGAATGGAAAGTTTGTTTTTTAATAATACGAGGAATTGTTAGATTCTTTGTTTCTTACATTTTCCCCGTAATTCATCAGAAGTATATTTTTCATTCTAGAGGTAAACGAAGCAATTTTACTATAAATTTCCCTCGATCGATCATCAATCCCAAACATATCAATCAGTTCTCAAGTCTCATTCTTTTTCAGTGTCTGCTACGTTTGTTAATCGAGGGAAAATTCGTTTTGGAAAAATTGGAGAGAGAGAAAGAGAGAGAGAGAGAGAGAGGCACGCGATGGTATATATGGCACGTTGACCGCAAAGTTAATAAAATGTCTAACGTGCTCGGGGGTAAATACGAATTTGTGGCCACGGCCGGAAACCACTTCGTGGACCGAACCCGCACAAATACATATTAACGCGACTGCTGTTCCCCAGCAAGCGGTTGCGCGTTAATAAAGTCGAATTTCAAGCTTACTTCAAGCTATACTTCAACTTTGACACTCGCCAAATGCGAAAATAGGAGAAAAATTTAATAACTTTGGTTATCGTGGGCCAGGGGAAAATTGTTCTGGTGATTTATATATATATATATTTGGGTGAAAAGCCCGCGGCAATTTTCTTGTTTGAAGATACGATTGCTGGCTTTGCAAAATACGAGACAGCTTGATGTAAAATATTGTTTTACGTAAAATATATTTTTCACTGCCACGGGAAACGAAGATACTGGATCAAAGAATTTATTTGATTAATCTCATGGAAATAGTTGGGTGCAATTTGCATTTCAATGATTATTACCTCGAAGAAGAATGAATGAATAATACGATATAATAAATAATAAAGAATATGACGAAGATAATGAGACATTTTCAGAAATGTAAATTTTTGGACAGGACAAGTTTTTTAATGTGAAGAGTTAACTCTAATTCTTTATTTCTCATAAAAATAATCGAGTCTATAGATTATTTCTTTAGGAAAGAACAAATAAAACTTCTCTAGAAACCGAAATTTTCGTAAAATAAATTTTTTTCGAATATGAAAGGAAAGCTCTAATTTTTTACTTGTTCTTAATGCAAATTTTATCGATTTCAGTCTTCCAAATTCGTCAAAATGATTGACCTTCTATTTTCGTAACTAATAAAAACACGTAGAGATATTTAACAAGATTGACGTTGAATTCTATCAAAGCAAAAACATTGTTACATACATTTATTTATTCTTCCCATGTCTCTTCATTTCTAAACCAACAACACTCGTTACACAAAACACAAACATCTACCTAATCCAATCTAAAACTCAATTCCAATCAGAAATTCAAAATCACTGAAACACCATCGTCTTCTTTCAGCAAACCCCGAAGAATCCGTTCCTCCTGTCCAACTCGGAAGCAGAGGGGATCGAGGTGCCAAAACCGGACGCAAACCTCTCAAAACTGTCGCCTTCAACAACCGTTTCACCGTCGTTGCCATCGTCACTCCCTTCAAATCAACAACGGAAGAACGAAGGACCGTCGCCTCAACGAAATTCGATACAAATAAACAAACTGGTATCTCTGAACCCTGTCCAGAGGCCTGTAGCTGTTCCAACACCCTACGTACTTCCGGTTGTGCCGTACAGACTATTGCACAGTGCTCTCCACCACACGCAGGACTCCTTAGGCCAATACGATTACAGTTACATGGGAGATTCCAGCGCGAAAACAGAGTCCAGGTCGTTGGATGGAACGACAAGGGGTGCTTACAGCTACATCGATCCAAACGGAATTTTACAACAGGTTCATTACGTGGCGGATCATAACGGGTTCAGGGTCGTGGCTACCAATCTGCCGGAAGCGAAGTAAGCCAACGAGGTCGATTCGACCGCGACGACGAATGATTTTATTATTGATTCATCGGGGGTGGTTTCTTATCGAGGACAGGCTGGAGTAGTTCGTGACGTATTTTGAAATAGGGGATAGAAAATTCTTGGATATTTTTCTTTTTGTTAGCGTTTCTAGCATTCTTAGATATTTCGTTCTTCTTTTTTGTTTTTTTTTTTTTCTTTTACTTTTAGAGGAAGATAGAATTTTTTCTTTGTAATTCTTAGGGGAAGATATTCCGTAATCCTTCAGGGGGAGATATTTTGTCTCGGAATTCTTTGGAATTTTTTAAGGATACGAATTGGAAAGTTAACGAAGATAAGAAAATCTAGAGAAAAAGAACTATTTTATACTTCCCTCTCCTTTTTTCTTTTTCGGCAAAGAATCTAAACTGCAATGCCTATTGCTCTAAATTATCAAGAAATTTACTTTGAAAGTCAAATATGATTAAACGATCCAAAATTTTACAACTTAAAATACAAAGAAAAATATATAAAATACCCAAAGAGTATTTTACACGTAAAATAATTTTCTAACAAAGTTCTATCTTTTTTTTTTTCTTCTTTGCACGTTCTCAAAAATACGAACTTGCATAAAAATCTGTAGCGTACTTATAAAAAATGCACAACTTCTTCAGAATTTTAATTAATCTTATCTTCCTTGAGAGCTTCCGCGATTTGTCATCCCCACCGTCATGTTGCCTCGATCGAAGAAAAATAACGCGTACAGCCAAGAAAAGGAAAGTTTCGTCGTTGATTTTCCAATGATTGGTAGCCGCCGTATTCCTTTCTTTGTCAAAAGAACGAAAAGATCAAAGGGGCAGGATAATCTTCATTTTGCGCTGTTCGATTGGGAATTTCTTGCGAAACGCGTTTCTTGCTACGGGGTTTATTTCACCGGTGAGGGGGTAATCAAACTTTCTGAATGCCTTTCGAGCTCGTTCCGCGCAAGCAACGCCCGTGACACTAAACGGGAACGAACTTAATTCGCATTCGTTCTCTCTTTTCGTTTCGCTCTTTCTCTCTCTCTCTCTCTTTTTTCCATTCTCCCTTATTCGCGTTAATTGTCGCGAGTAAATCAATTTACACATGAATAAATTATTTCATCCACGAAGCCGCTCTGCTCGTTCATTTTCCTTTAATTTTAATTCTTAGTTTAACTTTAATTTTCATTAAATTTCTAGGAAGAGGAGATAAAACTTTTGTTTTTAGAGAACATTCACAAGAACATTCACGTTACACCGTGATGAATGACTTCGATCACCCTTAAATGTGTCAGTTGTTTTATCGAAAACCTCGATCAATCAGAATTTTCATTTACGAAATTGTTTATAGATTTACGTTCTACGCGAGTAACTGTGTAAGCCCTCAAAGGAAAATTTAATTCTGCATCATAAAGGAACTTATTCTACCTCACGTTATATTACAGAAAGAGCTTATTGTATCCTTAAACCTTCAGACGTATTTAATTTCGCATTAAAGCATTCAATTACTAAATTATTTGACCAGAGTTCCCTCAGAATGATTAAAAAAAAAAAAAAGAAAAAGAAAAATGAAATCATTAATAAAAGCTGTAGTTCATAATTTTTATAATCTCCAATTTTAATCACAAAAGTCTCTTTCATTGTGTACCGTGAAAAAGAAAATCTCCAAGGAATATATAACTTGACTTGTAATCAAAACTCCCAGCCCTCCGAATGTATTGAACTTTCTTCCAAAAGATTCAATCACTAAATTTCCATTTACAAAATTGTTCAACTAGAATGATTAAAATCTCAGGAAAAAAAGAAGGGAAGAGAAAATGAAATTTTACATCACAAAGAAACGTCAAGCGTCAACCTTTTAATTCGCTTTCGTCGAGTATCGTCAAACGAAACAAAATGTCAAAGGATTCTGTAATCAACACTCTCAACTCCCTGGAGTTTATATTCAATTTTCTATTAAAAACTTCAACCACTAAATTTCCATATTTACAATGTTATTCGGCTGGAGTAATTAAAATCTCAGGGGAAAGAAAAGAAAAAAAAAAAAAAAATGGAAACTTTTCGACCCCACACAACCGCTGATTCGCAAGAATCCTTTTCATCGTGTATACTGAAAAGAAGGAAAATCTCAAAGGAATGGCTATCTTGATGATCAAAAATAAATTAGGTCGAAAACAGGAGCAATTCTCCGTTGGCACACCAACTGTTTTATAAAAGCAGGCCACCCCTTTGACTGGGGTGAATTCATTAATTTACTCAACAGCCGGATACTACCTGGCCTCTTACGAGCCATCATCGAATGGGAATTCGTGTTTCGAGTCCTTCGCCGGCTTTGAAGTCGAACCCTGAAAATTTAATGGAACGAGAGGACTCGAGTGCTGTTTGCGCGAATGCCGCCCAGACACAATGAATTAAATGAATAATTTGCTTTGATCTACGGGCTTCGCGGAACGATAACGATTAATTACTCGATTATGGAGTTTCCGTTTCTGACGATTCGTGACCTCCCTCGGTCTCGCATGCAAATCATTTGAAAATAGAAAACGATTTATCTTTTCTGATAATTTAAGATTTCACCTTGACGAACGGAATCTTTAGCAATATCTAAAGTTTCTCGGCCCTGATCGGAAATTGTTCAAAAAGTGGAAATATTGACAGGTTATGTTCAATTTTCAGACACATCTGACTGTAGAAAGTACCGACTTCAATTTACAGAAAATTTAGAGTTGACCTTAAAGATCAATTCTAAAATCTTTGATCTTTTCGTTTGGTAATTACTATTTTAATAATTATGTAAGTAAAGTTCGTCAAATACTTAGATACTATCGCAGTTCATCAAAGTGTACCAGCTGAAAGTAATTTTCCAAAAATCAAAAAGCATGTATGAAATATGAAATAAATGTTCAACGTGCCTCGCTAACGTGTTCCCCATGTTAAACAGCAAAGAATGTCAAACAATAAACGTTTAATTAAAAAAAGGAAACAAGAAAATGTTCAAAAGAATGACCAAGTTATTCTTGGAACTTAGTAAATGAAGGAAGCAGTAGAATGGTCGTGACGTTTCATTCTTTCTTCGACGTTCGTGACATTCCTTCCGCTTGTGCCTGTCTGAACTTCTTCGTTTCTCGTGAACGAGAACCATGACCTACGCTTACGTCGGCCAGGAATTCGTGAATGACGCGAACAAAAGGTAAAAGACCAGACGATTCAGCGTATCGACGATCTTGTGACCCATTAAACGCACGTTCCATCCTTCCTCTCTCTTTCTCTCTCTCTCTCTTTTCCTCCGCCAACGAGCGATTTTTGCCAAAAATCCTTTCACTTCGTCCGTTCATCCACGTATCTGAAGATCTCGATTAATTCCTTTCAAATTTCTCATAATTACCTTCTTTCTCAATTATATTTATTACATAATTATCTTCCTTCCTAATTATATTCATTTTAATTTTTCTTTTTACTTTAGTAGCATTTATTTATATTAGTCTCTTTACTTTAGTAGTATTTATTTATATTAGTATGTTATATATTTATATAGTATGTATTTATTTTGTGTAAATGAAATTCAAAGGAAAACAGTGTTGGTAATTTTGAAGAGAATTTTAAGAAAGCTGTAATTAGCCTCGGAATGCCTTTTTTAAGAAGCCATTCTTATAAAATTTCGGCTTAAGATGATTTTTAGATATCGGAATTTTCGAATCTCGAACTTTCGGTTCTTCAACTGTTTCAAAATCTCGAGTTTCCACATCTTCGAACTTTCAAATTTTGGAGTTTCCCGAATTTTCAAACTTCCGAAACATTCAAGTTTCATTGCAACAATTCCAATAAAACAGCCCTTTGAACGGCCTTGCGGCTCTGAAAATGATTCTGAAAAATATTTTGAAGCTTCTGTAATGAGGAGATTTGGGCCAATTTTGAAGTCAATTTGACGATGTGAATTTTGAAGTCAATTCGAGGTGTTAAATTTGATCGGAATCCGCGTGTTTCTCGTTGCGACAACTAACGCGTGGGCGGACCAACACGTGTTATGTAATTGTTGCCGGTTTTAGAGCAGATCAATAAATTACGATGTTCGATCTAATGCTGCGCACTCGTATCTCTTTTCTGTCTTCCATTCAGTACGAGTCACCAGTTTGATAGACGCGTTATGAAGAATGGAATAAATCCATTACGGTAGCGGTAAATGTTGATTTAATTTTAAATCCTCTGGATACATCTCTTGTTTGTGACGCGTTTGGGCTAAATTGGTCGAATTGAATTGATACAGAAATTAATTGAGAAAGAAATATTTTTTCGCGTTGAATTATACGCGAGAAGAAAAATTGATCAATGATAGATTGCAGGTGAATGTCATTGTGTTTTTATTAATACATTTTATTCGTACGTACCTGTGATTGGCAGTTATATATGGGTTTTGGTTGCTGGAAATTTAATCGTGACTGGAAAAACACCTTGGATCTTTTCGTATCGTCGAATGCTAAAATTTTTCGTAATTTTCAAACATTAATTTTGGAATTTTAACCATTAAACATTCGAGTTGTTTAAATTTTAAATTAAAATATTCTTAGAGCTTGAAATATTTGCAGGTCGTGAATTTCTCGAGTTTCCACTTACAGATGGCGAATTTCCAAATTTCTGAGCTTCAAATACTTAAATTTACAAAATTCTCGATACTTCAAGTACTTCTCAAATTACGAATTTTCTCAAATTTCAATGTACTGAATATTTTGAGCGTCAAAATTGCAAATTCACCAACAGCGGTTAAAAATTTTTGAATCTCGGAACTTTCGAAATTCTTAAACCTCTGAGTCATTGGATTTTTAGATCGTCAAAATTTTATTACCAAGCGGTCAAACTTTGCCAATTTCCCGACGATGATCCACCATCCTTTACAACGATGATCCACCATCTTCCGCGTAGCCGTCGAAACTAACAAAGGATCAAAATGACGAACAATTCCCAGGAAGGATCAACGATCATGGATTTTATTCGCATATTTATTCATCCATTCGTTTCGTTACGTATCGTAGACGGTATATCACATAATACAATGAACCTCGCCGATTTCGTACGTCGCTCTATCTCCTCCACCTCTCGAAACGATCGTTACACACTCGAAAGAGAACACAGTTTTGTCCGTACAAAACATCCCAACACGAGTTTTTATCATTCGTTTCGTTTTAAATGGCATCGTAATAACAACACTTACGTTCTTACTTTTTGTTTTGTTTTCACGGCGTGTGTATGTACGTATGTATGCGCGTGAGTGTGCGTATCTCGATTACACTTGCGACAGGATGTTCCAAGAAAAAAAAAAAAAAAAAAAAAAGAAATCCTCCACCACCTCTCGGCTCGCAATTTCAACGAACGACGTCTTTTAACGATCGATGATTTTTGAAGCAACCTGTACAACACACCGAGCGTCGCGTGTTCAGCAAAGGGCGATCGTTAAACGCTATTATCACAAATAACCAACGAGGAACGGTAAAAAATCTACGGAAACAATATGGCGGCAACACGATGGCGATTAGCTGAGAGGCCAGAAAATGTCTCGACAGACGCTGTTGATACTGAAAAGATAATCAAACCTGCGACTTTAACATCCGTTTATGGTACACATATGTATGCAGATATTATCGTAGATATAATACATGCGTATTTGAAGTATCCTCCTTGCATCACGAGCGTTCACCGTAAACTCCTCCATCGATTGCTCCGACAAGAATAACAGTTCAACAGTTCACCATATTTCTCGAAGCCAAGAATGCAAGACTCTCGCGACTCACTTGAATCTCTCCTCGTTTCACACCGAATCCACGATTATTTCGAACATTATTTTGTCCGTCTCTTCTCCTCTGGGACATTTCTCCTCTCGTCTTCAGTCTCGATCTACGATCTAGCTTGAGCGTCAATTTTTTTCATCACCTGTGAAACTCTTCGTCTCTTCGTGTCGAATTCTGGCTGGCGTAAGACACTCGAAGAAGCTCCACGGTTTGTCGCGAATCGAACGTGCTCGAATTCCGCGGCACGGTCTCGATGATCTCTCGAGGACGATGTCCTGGTACTCTAGAAGGACTGAATCCTTACTTTCGAGGTCCTCGGGTCAAAGGTGACGCGCTGAGCGCCACACCTGGCACGCTACAGTCATCTCGACTCGCTTTGCGAGTGAACCGTCGGCTCCGAGCTAGGATCCGCGTCCGAGTCGTCGATGGATACACCCTGCTGGGGCGCCTGTATCGAGTAACTGGGGCTCCGGTCGTTCCTACGAGCAAACAATCGCGCCTCGTGGCGAATTTTCTTCGACAAAATTGCGAACTTTTTAGTTGGAAATTGTAACCGTCGCGTTAGGGATGTACAATGTTTGAATTATCTAAAGAAAATTCCCAAATTTTTATTTTTATACAGATCGACACGTTGAAAAATATATACGTGCGTGTGTATATATCAAATTACCATTACGCTATTACATCAAATGAAATTTATTGCATTGTAATTATTATCTAGGTAAATTTGAGCTCACCTCATTGCTAATTGGCTGCCGTCGCTGCCGCGTCTCAAGGTATTCGCTCGCCGTTTGCAAAAGCATTTGCAGATGATGCTCTTGAACGCGAACCGGAAGTCTTTGCTAAAAAGCGCGTAGATGCACGGATTTATTGCGGAGTTGCAGTAGCCCAGCCAAAATAGCACGCTAAACACCGTGGGGTGGATACAATTGGGGCAGAAGGCGCGCACCAGATACATAGTGAAGAACGGAAACCAGCAGAGAATGAATCCGCCAACGATGATGCCCAGTGTCTTCGCTGCTTTCGTCTCCATTCGAAATTTTTTTACCTGCAACAATTTGACACCTCGATTATTACTATATTTCTGTTACGTTCTCGAAATTTATTTTATACGATTTATTTATTCTTTTAGCAATTTCAATAATTTTGGTAACTCTATAGAAATGTAGGAAATGTGAGAAGAAATTAATTATATTATCAATATTTAGTACGATATCTAACGACTCATTTCAATTTGCTAATATTGTTAGCTTCCTGAAGGAGTGTTGCATCTAAAAGACTGTCGACGTTAAAATATTTATATGAATTCCATGAATGAAGTAAAAGTGTATCATATGAAACGATACTTTAATTAATTATCATTATCTATTAATCTATCTATTAATTTATCTATTAATAGCAGCTAGATTATTCCATCTGTAAATATCCGAGTTATTAATAATCTAATTTCATCAAATCAATTTCCCACGATCATTCTCCGAATTCTATTATTCTTTTATTAAAATTAATTTTCAAGAGATTAATCTATCTTATTTCATCAATTTCATTCTATTATATATATGAAATAAATTTCCTGCAACATCCACCTTCCCCTTAATTCCATCAAACCAATAATCTATAAGACATCAAGTTGTCTTATTTTATCTTTTTCTTCTATCTCAAATAAATTCCCCTGCAGAATCCACTTTTCCTGATCCTACTCCACTCTCCTATCAAATCAATAATCCCTAATAATTGTTTCTTAAGAGATATACCTTACTTCATCACTATATAAAATAACACAATAATAATATTCTTATTCCACCTTAGGACTTTGCTCTCGCTTTCAATTAAATCAAAGGTAGAAGCAAATTATCTCCAAATGTTTCAAAAGCAGATCCAAACCACCAAACTCGATTCAATCTCTAAACTTGATTTCACTTCGCCGAGGTCTCGACGGAGGATACCTGAGCTTTAATGTTCCTCTTCCCCATCTTCATCACCCTGGGCTTCTCTTCGGCACCTTGGGTGAGCTCTCGTAACGACATCTCATCACCCATCATTTGACTCTCGCAGCTGTTCCGTCTGCTGGGTCTCCTGGTGCTGCCAACCCTGTTGATACCGCTCACCTGTCGCCAACGTATCGAATCGTTTAACGACACTGTTCTTTAGCATTTCCCTCCAGGGACGTACAAACGCGCTCACCGGGATTTTACGATTCGACAATTTCACGTATTCCGTTCCGATCTTCGAATCGTAAACTCTTTCAGTGAATTATATATTTGCGCAAAGAAATCGACAATTTTAACCGAGGGACTTGCAAATCTGATTATTTAGGGAAATGGGGCATTAATAAATGTAAAAACTCGCGAAGTATTTCTATTCGATAGAGACATTGGTTGCCGAATAGTTCTACAAGTATTTAATCGAAATTAAAAAGAACTACGCATCACGTTCGCCATATAATAATCCAAGTCTGCGTAATTCATTTTCCAATTTAAAGATTTTATATTTCACGCGGGAAAGGAGAACAGAAGAGACTTTATTTTCAGCCCCCGTGGGGTTGACGTCTATCTTCGATCGTTATTCCTTATCAGAGAGAACAGCAACATCGAAGACATTTTAAGGGAGAATAATAACGGCGGGATCGCGGTGTTACCTTGAGATGCGTACTCCTCGGGGTGGGACACAGTTGACTGTGCGTCTGTCCGTTGCTATAGTGCACGGAGGTCTGAGAACACCTCGAGGGTGTTCTCTCGAGGGTGTTACACTTTGTATTCAATGTCTCCGTGCTCGGATACGACACCGAGATTTTTATCTTGTCCCTTTTCACCGAGCACCGGCTATTCGACTCGGGACTTCTCGGGCTCCCGTTGTTGCTTCCATTATGCACGCTGCCTCGACCACGGTGAATCCTCAGGGTCAACCTTTGTTCGTCAAATCTGCGAAAAGAGATACGCGTAGAATATATCAGTTTTCTTCTTTCTTTCTTTCTTTCTTTCTTTTTGATTTTCCACGGTAGACATCAACCCACAGACAACCCTCTTTGTTCTTCGTTAATTCGTAATTTTTTTGTCATTTTTCTTCTTTGAAAGATCATCGGGAACAAAGCAACAGCTTTGACAGGTAAGTAAATCACAGTTTCGATATTTAACCGTGGATTTTGCTACTATTCCAACTTCTACCAAAAACGAAAGGGAACTAAAAGTGAATATCAAAAAATAAATTTTGAACAGACGAAAAAACAGCGAGAAAGCAAAGCTCGCTGCGAAATTGTTCCTTTTTTCTTTTTCCTTTTTTTTTTAATTGAAATCGAAATTGAAATGGCGGCGAGAAATGACGATGGAATAATACGCGTCGCAATTCTCCGTCCCTTCCATATTTCTCGGGGAAGCTGCACGTCGGATTTACCTGGATCCAAGCATTTTCGAGCTCTTTGTCGTACGGAAGCCTTGATTAATAGCTTTCGTGGTGGAGACGGCTGCATTGTAGATCCTCCAGTAGAAAAACAGCATGACCAGCATCGGTATATAGAAAGAACCGAGCGCGCTGCAAATAACAACTTTTTAATTTTATCATACGCAAAAAGAAGAAGAAGAAGAAAAAGAAGAAGAAGAAGAAGAAGAAGAAGAAAAAGAAGAAGAGAGAGAGTAGAAGGAAAATGGTCGAAGAGGGATAATTTCGTTCCGACAGGGAAACATCCTTCGCCCGTCCCTCGGGCATTCTTAGACGCGGATCGCGTTTAATGGAGCCACCTGTTAATCCTCTCTTTCCTTCCGTCTCGTTTCTCTCCTTCGACTCGACGGGATTAATTATACTTTACTTGTTTTTCTTTCTTTTTGTTCTTTTCTATATTCATTTTTTTTCTTAGGTATTGAGTTGTGACGTTTTCTGGATGTTTCTGACAGATCTAACAACAAGGATTTTATGGATTCTGTTGAGATTAAGATGAGATGAGGGGGATTAATTATAACTAATGTTGTAATTTTTTGGCAAATTCAAGAGAAATTTCGCTCAGTTTCTAAAAAGAATCAGTTCACTGAAAATGTCACGCGAATTGTTCGCAGAAAAAGCTAGGCTATTAAAGAACTCTTATTTCCCGCGATTCAATTTTGTCAAAAGATTTCTGACTGTTAAATACATCTGGGACAAAACATTTCATTAATTATGTCACTCTCCACAATTCAATTTATAAATATAATTCACACGCAAATTCCATAATGTTGAATAATTTTGGGAAAACGAAACAATCATCTACGTGATTTACAACACTTACACGTTTCGTTAATCACGCGATGTTCAATTTGTAGTAAAATTACCGGTTATGTTAAGTAATTTTGGGAACAGTAGGTATATCAGCGTACATTTTAATTCGACACCTTCGTCTACGTTATTCTCCGCGGTCATAATTTGTAGAAATATTCTCGCAGATGAAGAACGAATTGAAGAGACGACAGAGAAAACGTCGGATGGTGTAGAGGACACGGTGCGGCGGGTTTCATTGAATTTCCAGTTTCGCTTTGACGTATCTTTTTCTATACGGCACGCGGCAAGATACGAAACGCTCGCTAGCTGATAGCCTTGCAAACTTCGTGTCTATGGATAAAGCTACTGTTTGTCTACAGTATTGCTCTTTGTATCAGATAAGGGATCAAGTTGTGTCCCTTTGTTGACACTGGCACAATAGATACTGATGAATAGAGAGCGTTTTATCTTCTATCTTCCGATCGTTCCTGCGACGCTGGAAAAACGAAATGAACTCTGCTATGAAATTCCATGTCGTACTCGCTGACGGAAGTACGTACTATACTTCTGGGAGATGCGAGAGCTGTGGGGGGTCCGCAGAATTGCACGTATTTCATACGCGAAACGAACTTTTTTTTCTTCTCTGCTCGTTTTATTATACAATATTGCAAAGAATATTTTGCGAAACACGAGAGACGATATTCCGTTGTTTTGTAAAATTAAAAAAAATACATTCACGTCACGGTAGTTACGTACACAACAACTCGCGAAATATTATACAAAACTTATACGCGTTGTATAAAACATTAAACAACATGTGAAACGCAGTGAGATTTTTTTTGTTCTGTTTTTTTCATTGTGAATCTCAACTGGGTCAAGCTACGTACTGTATTTCCAAACAATAAGAACCCCTACTTTTTATTCTGCAGAATTGAAATTGACGAATTCGTATATAATTCTTGCAAGAAGAACGTCACCGACTGAGACGGTCCTTGAGTTGAATCGAGAGAAATTTTCAATATATTCTTATCTTCAAATTTTGAAATTTCGCATTTGATACAACCCGTGAATGTTAAAACAGATGTATCATTACGTATTCTATTCTTCAATTGTTAATTATTATGTTATAAATGACAATGCACTCGTCGAACTTTTCAATTGCTTTGTACTCTTCGTTCGAAAAAGCTTCAAGCTCCACATTAACACCTCTTGCAATGCAGAATCATAAATCTTTGAACAACCTACTATCTACATAATTGTAAATCACCCTCTTGATAATAGTTGGAAATTAAACGTAATGCACACTATCCACGAGAGAATTCATTTCAAGAGAAAATATATTGCAACACATTCATATTCAGACGTTCCCTCTCTCTCTCTCTCTCTCTCTCTCTCTCTCTCTCTCTCTCTTCCTTCTTTATATTATGGCATACGATTTTTAAACGTCAATTTTCAAACATTGTCTGTTACGTTTCTTTCCATTCCATCGCACGTATTTCTTGAAAAGTAACGATTCCACGCTCCAGCCTGAAAAGATTGAAATATCGCGGACGAAGTGAAAATGATAACAGTGCCAGCCAGCAACGTAAATTTGTCTGGCACACGGTAGAACATTAACCGTCTATTCAGAGGCTGATTTAGATGCAATGTCGAGCATAAACCGGCGTGGATTGATGTACACGCCGATCGCGATAACACGGTAAGAATAGACACGATGTTTGCCAGAAAATTCAAGCCTTCCTTCTGCCCGACATAATTTCTGTTTTCGCGGTCGAGTCTGTTGAAACTGGAGATTATGTATATTATTTCGGTTCCCTGTATATTTTTGCATTTGTAATTTCGAAACGAGGGTTGCATGATATTTGCAGCATTCACTGTCAACTTTAATTTTATCAACAAGCTGCGATAGGAATTTCTAATCTTTCGAATTTCTAATTTAATTTTTTTGATGTAATTGTGCTTCGATTCTTGGATTTGCGATCATGAAGATTGTATGATCTTGATTGTACGTTCTGCAGAATTCGTTATCAACTTTAATTCTTTATAGAAGCTGGAATAGAAATTTCTAATTCTTGGAATTTTTATTTCTTTTATTCAGCTGCGTTTGTATCATGGAGAATAAATGTTTTTAATTAATTTTAATTCAGATAATGGGAAAGTTGAAAGGATTGAATCTTTTGTTCTTGAAATCTTTGCTGTGACTTTGACTTTGTAGTGTAATTTTGTAGTAATATAATGATTTCTTTAATTATGTAGTGATTTATTAATAATTTTAATTCATATGGAAGATTAAAAGTGGAAGTAAAAAATTTAATCTTGGGACTTCTGGGTCTTTAAAGTAGAATATATTTATTATATGGATTTATTATTCATTATTTATGTTTAGCAGAACGTACGTTGGTGAGTTGGTGAGCTGAAGGATTGAAATGCTGTGACACAGAATAGAAGTTTCAAAACTGAAAACATCAAGTTGTCAATGTATTACAGATGTATTACATTTCGAATTATTAACTTTTGTAACGTAAATACGTGAAAATTTTGAAATTTTCAACTCTCAGAACAATGAAATTTAATAATCAAGTTCTGAGAAATCTGGAATTCTCACATTTCTATTTCTACAAAAGCCTCTTATTATAAAATTTCTATTCTAGGTCTTAAAATCTGCACTTTAAAAATCTGTTGCCTTACGATTTTCATTTTTGTCTCTGCTGTAAAAAAATTCGAACCTTTAGTTTCCCTCTTTAAAGTTACCAAGTCCTATTTTAAAAAATTCAGACCCTAAAATTTCCACTTCCATTTCTAAAGCCCCCTTTTCAGAAGTTCCGAATCCTAAAATTTCTCGCCTGAATTTTAAAACTTCGCCCCGAGCACCAAAATTGTAATTCCAATTTCCAAAGCTGCGCGCCTGCAGATTCTAAACTTGAAAATTTCCACTCTAATCACCTCGCTGGTGAGGCTTTTACAAATCCTCACTGCCCCCAATTACCTTCACAGACCATTCAAACGGGGTAGCTTCGTTTCAAATTTCAAACTCGAGGTGATTTCAACACCACTCTGTATTCCAGCACGACATCCATTGTCGTTTTACTCTATTTTTCGTTACCTGTAGACGACGTAGCCAGCGTCGTTGGTCAGCTCGCAGATCCAGGGACAGGGTTTCACCGGGATAAGTATGGTGGTGGTGTTGAACGGTCCGTTCTGTGCGGACGTCATGTTGTACGTGGGATGAGACTGCGAAACGAGCGCAAGAAAGTAGAAAGACACCGTGTAACGAGCGAACAAAACTGATGATAGTTACCCGTTTGTCTTTCCAGCCGACCAGGGGTGGGAAACAAATGACGAAGCTCAAGATCCACACGGTTGCCACCAGCAGCCTTGCTCTCCTCGGTGACATGATCTAGATTTTTAAGGGTACAACAGAGTTTCAACCACTGTTAAAATATTGGTAGAATAAAAATAAAAATTGAACGATGTATTGACAGTAATATAAGATTACTATCAATATGTGAGTAAATTTCTAGTTTGATATTGGTAATGTGACAGTAAATTCCTAGTATTTGGCTATTTCGCCGGCTTGTAACTTTTTTAATATGGTGTTCTTTTTTTTTTAAGTAACAAGAACTATATAATTTTTTCGACCTCCCCATCTTGTAATAAAATGGACCTCTTGTTAAAGAAACGGTAGCGAAATAATAAAAATTGGGCAAAGCCGCTAAAGAAATTTAGCTGAGATTGATCAGAATTTGTCAGAGACTAAAGAATAAAATAATTTACTAATAACGTGAAAATTGAGTAACTGGAAATTAGAATATTATTGTATGTTAAAATTTGGAATAATATTTATGATATATTTTATTACAAAACAAAGAATAATTAGTGAGATAAAAATTTAATTATCACATAATGATTTCATATCTTTTAAATTTCAATTTATAAATTTCTAATAGATTTTCACCATTTTTACCATTGCCAAGGATTTATTTAGGATTATTGGATATATATAACGGCTTGGAAATATTTCGGAATCTCAAACGAAGGTTTATAAAAAAGTATTGAAAATCGTTAAGAATCCTTAGAAATGTTTCGACGCCTTTAGAAATCTTTGAAAACCTACAAGAATCTTTAGAAATATTCTGCAGTCGCTAGAGACTTACTTCGTTCGAAGTGTTTGCGAATCAATAATGTCTAAAAGTGCAAAAAAATCGTAACGATCACTCTACTTTGGATATTTCATATATTCCTGTAATAATGTATTAATAACATTCTTATTATACTTTAATTTCATTTATTATTTTTTATTACTACACAGGAACGTATACATAAAAAAAACTTTATGCAAATACTAAAACATTTAAAATCACTAATAATGTTACTAACAAACTAGTAATCTTTATATTGTGAGCACATATTCCTCATATATATTTCATTCCAACAAAAAATTTATAATGTCAGCTACATCCTTCCGAAGGTTCGATTTTTCAATTCAAATTTCGCGAGATAGAATGGCAACAGCAATCACAAATCAGCCGCGAAAGTCAAATGTTGCGAGTGTTGAACAAACGATCGACCAATTAAGCTCTTGGAAGGGCTAACGTCGGATAGAGGAACTAGTCGAGAATGGAAACAGAGGAGCAGAAGAGAAGAGAGGAACCCGGAGGAGACAAATGGCTTCATCGAGCGTTCCCGTACCGGCACACCTGTGCCACGAAATCGAATAATCGGTAAATGGTACTTGCCTGAGGATAACTGACTGGCCTGGTCACCGCTAAGTATCTATCCAGGCTGATGGCACACAAATTCAATATCGACGCCGTGCACATCCATACGTCCACCGCCAGCCAGATGGAGCACCATAGGTCACCGAATATCCAGACCTTAGGAAGCCGAGTCATACGGAAGAATCCATTAGCCGCCAAATCAAATTTACTCGCTTTATAATTTTTCATCGAACCGGCGAGATGATTGTCGTAAATGGACTGCGAATTTTCGTGCAAATTGAAATTCAAATAATGGAACTTGGGTGGAAGTTTGTTTATATCTTGTGTATACTCTTGCGTTTTCGTAACTTCAAATTTTTTGTAAATGCACAAAAATTCGCAATTTGGTAACAAATACCCTCAAAATTCAGCAATAAAAATTTTCAAAACATGTATAAATGATCTGTCTCTTCTCTATGTTGGTTGATGAAATAAACTTGAGACTATTCAGGCTTTTAATAAAGTGTTTTTTTACAAAAATCTTTAGGACTGATTCAATATGTGATGCTTCGAGGAAAACTTGTTATTTCATCTAGAAATTACTTCGTTGTTAGAATATACATAAGTGTGTTTAAAAAATGTTTAAAAGCTTAACATACCAACTTGCCCCTTTTTCTCAAAGATGCTCATTCAGAAAATTTAAAAATGATCGTAACAAGTACTGTTAATTAGAAAACAACTCTACATTCTATCTTCTAAAAGGAAATGAAATTATATGAAAATATTCTTAAAAATGAAAGAAAAAGAAAAATGAATTTAATATTAAACTGAATATTACATAAACCTAAGTTTAATTTATTTCTTCATCGATTTTCACACTAGAATAACCAGAGTGATCGAAACGATCAATTCACATTAATTTTTCATAAAAATTTCCTAACTTTTACGATGCGCACAATTTCTCGTGAAATATGTGAACAAAAGATTTGTGTTACTTATTGCTATAACTGTAAAATTTCCTCTGCATTTTAACCTTCAGCAAAGTAACCCATGCCGGAGTCACTGCTGACTCACACCGATACTTCACTAACACATAGCGGCTCAAGAAACCTCCACCAATACTGAGCACAGTTACGATTGTTCGAGCTCGTTACTATAACACAATGTAATAGATTTCAAATTATGCTCGGATTTTTGTTGTATGTATACAAAAAAAAAAAATAATAAAAAAATTACATGTATTGCAAAGTATTGCATTTATTACACATAATTTTTTAGATTTTGTTGAGTGGGCATTACAAACATTCCTTTTGCATGAATCGCATTATTACTTCCTATACAGAAACAAAACCTAGCACGCTTATTGTAACAAAAAGGATGATTGTATGGTGGATTGTGTTTCACTAACTATACAAATATTGCGTGTATGATACGAGTCTGGGAGATGTGTACTGCTTCTCTCCTCACGAAAGACTGACTGACTGTTGCCAAGAGACCAAATGTTGCTACGTGACTTTTTGGTGCCAGCCAAGGATCCTTTTTCCTAGGCTTTGCTTTGTTTCTACCCTTACCGAGATGGGAGAATACCAGGACATCTGAAAATTCTCGCAAAATCGAGCTGTGGTGATGGTGGTGTCATTTTTCGCCTCACACGAAATATGTAGCTTCTCACTGCGTGCGTAATCGTTTTCAAAACGACGAGTCACCAGTGACGTCGACACGGTATTCGTAGGGTTAATTTCTCTGATACAAGTTTTATGTTTTATCGCGAACGACAGTGTAAACTGAAACGACCTAAAAACTGAACGATCCAAGCTCCTTCATTGTGGAGCTGGAATTCTCATTCGCCTGGTCTCGTATAAATTTCTCAGAATGACCTTATGGTTTCCAGTTATGGCCTCGTTTCGTACGTTTTCAAGGGGGCCGAGTCGCACAGTCGCGTTTGGACTCCACGTTTCCGCAACGATACATCCTCCGCAACGTACAATACCCTTCATCCACCCCCTATTCTCCGTTTCAATCTCCTCGTCTTCTCTCGAACACCGAAACCAATACTCTGTATATCCTATTGCCGGGGAAAATGTCGCTGGTTCGAGAAAAGTCGCTCGACTACGCGACTTTACCTTCGATTCAAACGGCCACCGGCTTTCTTTTGAGAGAGGATTTGCACATTTGCGTTATAGCTTCCCTTCTTGTCGACGTCTTGCACTATTTCGAAAATACTTTTATCGAAAAAATATCATCTACGAGGGAAAGGGTGACTGTGAAAGGTTGATCTCGATAAAATAACTCTCGAAATAATGGTCGTAATTGGCTAAGGATTAATGTTATATGTCAAATTTGTTTGTAATGTCTCTCGATCAATTTAAATCGCCAAATTTCATTTTTTTTTTTTTTTCAATACTGTGGCTGTAAAAGTTTCATGTTTCTTCTTGTCTATTTGGACTTTACAAACTTGTGAAATTTGGGGAAACTGATGTATCTTGAGTCTTAAAATTTCATTGAATCCTATTTCCTCCTCGCAGTTTCAATATTTAGAAGAAATAGAATTTGATAATGTGAATATAAGAATGAAATTATAGGCAATATACGCATAATGTAGTATAAATAAATACATAGTAATTATGATGTAATATAATATAAATATATATCTAAACCTAAATCGAATCTAACCTAGAACTCAATAATATTGTAAACGAATTTGCTCCCCAACGAATTAATAATTCGTTGCGTTAAACATCTCCAATGAAATGCCGTGCGAAAGCAACAAAAAAATATTTAAAAAGTAACAAGTAACATTGCAAAGTAAAACGTTCGGACATTTATATTGTAAAGCGAAGCAGAGTAAATCCAGCTATGTCCACTCACTTTGAAAATAAATAAACAAATTCCATTGAAAAATATCAATCCATACTCCAATTCAATTAATAATCCAACATACATTTGTTACATATTTCCGTCGCAAATGCAACTTTCACCCTGCAGTTAATTTCCAGGTGGCCAGGCAGCCACCATTCGCCCGATTATCCAAAGTTCATCAACCACCTACGAGACGCACATTATCATCGAGCTAAGACGCTAACGCACGGTGACTCTTGCTCGCCATCTCGGCGGAGACGTTACTCGCACATAATGCGAATCCATGAGTGCACGCAGCAGGTGTAACGGTGGGATTGGCGAGCGAGTGAACACGCTGCTGGCCGGTGCAACCACCTGTTTCGAATTACCCTCGGACTCCTGTTCTCGACTCGTGTTCGATTCGATTAATCCAACCCCCGCCGCCGCGCCACCTACAGCATCCCTTATAATAGCGCGCGCTTGTTAGTAATACTGACCAGCGGAATATATTCGGAGATAAGCGTTCCACGGGTACTAATTAACTCTCTTCTTGTTCATCACCGGGAATCGTTATTGAAATCATTAACCCAAGTTCCCTGTACATGTTCGTACATAAATACNGTATGTATGTATGTATGTATGTATGTATGTATGTATGTATGTATGTATGTATGTATGTATGTATGTATGTATGTATGTATGTAGCTGCACGTCGATCACATGGTGCGGTTTGCACACGTTTGCAAGTTATTCGGGACGAATTAGTTATCGATCCGTTTTGCGGTCACTTGTGCACTTCCGGGGAAATTTGGGGAAGCTCGTCCGAAGAGCATGAACGTCCGCAGAAACACAGGGAATTTATTGGGTTGTTTGGAGAATTCGTCGTATTTTCTCTCTCTCTCTCTTTTTTTTCTTTTTTTGTTTCTTCCTTTAGATTGGAATTTTTACTCTTTCCTCTTTTACGTTTTCGACAGGTTCAATAGGTAATTCCAGCAAATTTTCGCGAGGTGAATATGAATGTGAAAAAAAAAGCATTTTCCCGGCTGGATTTTCGAGGGTTTTTCGTGGAATCGAGTTTGACAAAAAGAGGCGAGTTTGAATGTTTCTTGCGTTTAAATTGCGCTCGAATGCCTCGTGCTAATTTAAAATATTTCCAAGCGTATTATCCATAGAGAAGTTTAATCCTTCGCGATCGTGTCTGATTCTTTTACTGCTCTAGATTTTCAAAAAAGTGTGAAGAGAACTTTGGATTACTTAAGGAAGCAATTTACTTTAAGACAGATTTGACAATGGAGAATTAAACACCAATAATAATAGCGGTAATTGCATTTCGTTTTGTTTCACAACGCCAATGAAACTTGAAAATTTCGGAAAAAGCTACTACCAAAGTCGATGTACATAACTTCCAATTACAAAATTTCTACACAGTTTCCGTTTTTTTCCCCTCTCTTTGTAAAAATACGAAATCGCATAAATACAACGCAGTCTATTTATTTCATTTGTTTAACGTTGTTTGAGAGTACAAAGAGTCTGCTTTCGCGAAAAAGCTGAACTATACAAAATTATTCATACGTGCGAATACTGTGAAAATTATAACACGGCCATTTCCACAGGTTATTGGATTTCGTACATTTGTTCAGAAACACACCGACTCGATTAAAAATAAAATAAACAAATATCCACCCCCCCCCCTCCTTTACTTGCAATTCAAGAAACAAAAGTTCATTTCAAATTTTTTTCCATCTCGAGCTCTGGTCCTCGCGTTTTTTTTTTTTTTTGCGTCTCTCACTTCTCTTCAAGTATTCTTATAGACCCACCCCGAAGTTTCCTGGCTGCGTGAACTTATTTCAATAGCGAGACTATAGTATCGAACGATGAATACGCGAGCGATAGCCTTGGTATATTGTGTCGAGGAGGGTACGATTTTCCTCCCGCGTGAAAAGGAGTTGAAGTGCTTTGGGAGAACGTGTCCCCAAAGCTGTTTCATGGCGTGTAAAAGAATCACGAGGATTATTCCCGCTTTTACAACGGCATTAGATGTTCATCTGATATGGCGAATGGGTTAGAATGGGTTGCTTCCCAGCGGTTACCTCAGTTTCCACGCGTTTAGATTTTCTACTCGATTCTTTTTCATTATCTGCGTTTCTATCTTTTTTTGTTTAAATTTTTATTTCGAATAATTCTTTCGGTGTCTCGCGGTGACCTTTCCTCATTTGTTGCAATAACATTCTTTACTCTCCCAGTATTTTATTCTAATTTTTATCTTCTATCTTTCAACTCTTTTGATTCTTTAGTCTAAATTTTTATCAATCTTTTGTTATTTTCGGAATTTTTTACGCGTTTCTGTCAGATTAGGTTGAATTGATTAAATTATCGTTGAAGGTAAAATCAAAAATATTGTTAACACTGGAATTACCGACGATGATTAAAGAATGTATCAGAGAAATAAACGTTTCAATTCATACATTTATTTATTATCTGTAAAAGAGCTTTTATTTATATGTTTGTGACGAATGAATCAAATCTCTGAGAATGCATCGTGGTGGATCTATAAAATTTTGATAAAAAAAAAAAATTACAAACTGATTGTTTTAATCACTCTTAACAAATTTACCATTTTCCTATTAACACAATTAATCTATTAAGAAACCTGTACATAAATTTAAATACTAATATAGGTGTTTTATCAATCGTAATATTATTATAAAAATAAATTTCATATCAAAAGGGACCACGAACGAACTGAATTTGAGGGAAATTTTTCTTTTTTTTTTTTTTTTTTGGTGAAACATAACGAAGCAAACGTTGGACTGTAGCGAAATTAATTTGAATTCACAGTATTCACAGAATCAACGAAATTAGGACGGGATACAATTTTTTTCAAACGAAGTATTTTATAATTATATTACCATTATGCAGGCAAAATATATTTGAAATGAATATAAATGCGCAGTGCGGTATACACGTTATACCCTATTCATCATCTTCTTGCTCTAACCGCCGTAAATGTAATCTTTTGCTACAGTCAACATGCCGACATCATTTCATCCTCTTTTTTTTTACAACTTTCTTTACTTTCCTAAATTAAGCACGCCGCTACTATCTGTCCAAAGGACGCAACAACTGTTTTCCCTTGACTTGTTGAGCGCATTATCATCTTTCATGTCAAACACAAGGCTCCCTAGCAGCCTAATACATTTCTAGCGAAAATTTATTTTACATTTGACATTATTTTACATTCCTGCATTTCAAATATTCATTATCTCACTCCTCTCTCAGTTTCAATAAATTTTTCTTCCTTCATACACGTACGTACACATTTCGCGTAAAATATTTTTGAATAAATTTGAAATCCATCATTTTAATAAATAATGGACGAGCGTTTGTCTGATGATTTTCTTTCTAAACGCCTTGGATAAACATGAATAATTATAACATCAAATTAGATGAAACTTTCTGATTCTTAAACTGAAGAATTTGAATGTCTAATTCAAAATGCGTGATACTCTAATTCTTTTTTCTTTTCAAACCGAAAACCATAATTCGCAGCACGAGCATGTAACACGATATTTTAAGACAAGAAGACTGAATGTTGTTATAAATGTACAGTGAAGCATTTTCTCGTGTGAAAATCTTTTATTCGCCTCATTCGATAAAAGAACGATAAATTTTGTCTAGCTAAAAATCTGGACAGTTGATAACGCAAATGATAAATTCTATGTGGAGAATATAAATAATAAAATCTATCTAGAAATCTAGCTTGAAGAAATTAGGACTAAAAGTAAAGGTTAAAAATCTAATAAAATAAATTCAGCACTATATCGTGCTATGAAATTCCTTCAATTTCACCCGTTTTCCAATGGGGAAAAAGGAAACAAATCCCGTTCGTTTCGAGATCCGTCTAGCACGGAATAAAGGAAGCAAAGAAAAATGAAGGAGATCTAAACCAGAGACGGAAGAAAACAAAGAAAATCTAAATCAGAGGCGAGGTAATAAATTGCTTCCTTGCGTAAAACTCCTCGGGCAAACACGCTCGACGAAAGAATGACAAATCCAATGCCTGTCTGGAATTTCGTCTAGCACCAAGTTGAAATCCCAAGTGGAATACTAGGCGCAACAATCTTTAGGGTGGCTCCAGCCTCACCTTCTCCTCCCCCATCCCTCTTCAGCCAGAAACGTTCATCTTTTGGGGGTTGAATCAGAGAGAATCTGGCCAGGAAGAAACGAAGGATGAAAGCCCGGCAAACTGTTGCGCCTAACTCATCCCCCAGTTCGCGGTTATTTCGTCCGCACGCTTTTTGCCGCGAATTCTTCGGGGCTCGCGGTGATAGCGTGTCGGGTATATCAGCTGATTGCTTAAATAGCCGAGATAATTGCCCAGAGATATTCTTGACACGGCTTTCGCGAATAATATTCTTTCCTCTTGTTTTCAATCTTTGCTGGACACCGAAGAATTTCGTTTAAACGGAAATAACATTCGACTATGAGCGTCTAATCCATACTGGAGTATTAAACAATGAGCAATGAAACACTTGTAGATTCGAGGAAGATAACGTATTACGTTATGTTGAATGAACATATAAGAAGAAAAATTATGCATTTTTAATTTGTTTACACGCTCCCGTATTCTTTTAGACCTTTGGTAATTCCAAGCACCCAAAGGTGCACTAAGAAGGTTAACACGAAAGATAAAGAGATTTCGTTTCGTCCACGATTTTTGAACCAATTTTATTTATATATATATATATATTTATTTATTTATACATTATTAAGTTATATATGCATTTATACATTATTAAGTTATATTTATAACTTAATAATTTATATATTTTATTTACATATTAATAATTTATATATTTTAATTTATATATTTTATTTGTTCGAATAAGTCGATGAAAAATCGTTACATTTGCCTAAATTGTAGACTGTAAATTCTTCCCTAATGAGGATAACTATTGTTTCTTTCGATTAAAAAAATAGCAATACAAACATTACACCTCGAACGTCGTACACAAAGCAGAGAAATAATAATAAAAAGAAACAAATCGTTAAAATACCCGATCCCAATTGAGCCTGACTACAAATTCGCTAAAACAGAAATCCGTCCGTTTTCGACAAACCAGAAAAAAACTCTGCCGAAACGCGCTTCGACTTTTCACTTTTCGGATGGGAGAAAAAGTCCTGGAAAAAAAGACATACGCGAAAAAAAACCCCGTGTAAAAAATGCAACATACTCTGCGGAAAATCGCGGTAACAGTGCCGGATGTGAAACGAACGTTTAGCTAGAATTCGCCCCGATATTCCTCCCCTCGTTCGTCACGGGGTTTCGAATTTTCGTCGCAGGTACGCACTCGAGAGCACTCGAAAACTCGGTATCCACCACGCCGTGGATGCAGCGACTCGCCTCGGTTAAAACCGGTTATGCTTGCGCTTCTTGCGCGTACAAAGAAAAGGGGGGGGGGGTGAGAGAGGAACGAAAAAGGGAAGAAAAAAAGGAAGAGGAAGAAAAGGGATCGATCGATTTGGTCGGTGGAACGTCGAATGGACGAGAGATCAAAGGGCAACAGGCGAGACTCGCTGCTGCGAACGATGAAAAATCGTCGATCGATTGGGGTGCAGCATTTCTGGTGTTCGCCGCTCTTTGAAGTGTTTCGTTCCTATTTGACGCTAAGGCGTTTTAATTTCGATGCATAGAGCGTGATATTACTCTGCGGCTGTGTTCGCTGCTATAAAAGAGTTTCTCCGAACACTTTCTTTTTTTTTTTTTTTTTTTCAACGAAGGGATGGAGGCGGATGGCCGGGTTTCTAGGATTTCGCTGCACGTGGTGTTTACTGCGGTATTGGTGTTTTCCGTGCCGTGAGAATTTTATCATTTTTCGAGGGATCGTTGCAGACGATATTTACTGTAGATTCATTTCGTCGGATGAGAATTTTGTTTTGTTACCTTGCCTGGTTCGAAGAGATTGTTACACGGAATGTTTTTCTGTTTCTTTGCTTCGCGAGAGTTGCATTACTTTGACGAGTTGATCTCAGCGCCTTGCGTTTGAAACTTCACTCGCTTCGTTGATGTTTATAAATCACTGAAGTTCACTTAAACGACGTAAATAGTAGAACAAAACATGGCAGAGAATTAACCAACATTAACCAACGATACTTTTGCAATAAATCCAAGAACTAAGCTCTCCTCTTGAATAATGTCCCCGCAATAAATCCGAGAACTAAGCTCTTTTCTTGAATGATGTTTTCGCGAGAAAGAGTTGCGTCGTTCGTTTCGTTTCAAACGAGTCAACTAAAACGACGAGCTGCGTTTCTCAGACGATGATTTTTTTAATAATCAATACCGAGCTTCCGCCTCAGATCATTCGCGAAGAAAGATCACGCATCGAGACGATTAGCTCGATCTTTTAAATATATTCGCAAACATGTTGAATAAAGTCAACGAGAGAAACATAAAACATATAAAAATATAGAACTAATAAATACAGAACCGACGATAAAAAGATAGAGAAATCTAAGGAGTATGAAACGATAAATGAGAGAGATGTAATAAATAGATAAATAGACAAACTGATAAATAAAAAATACAATATAAATAAATGCAAAACTAACGGTAGCAAAGGAGACGTAGACATTTGAAGAGGATGATCTCACCTTGAAAACCTCCCACGTAGCGCTGAACGGAAGCACAGCCAGGCCGACCATGAGATCCGCCACCGCGAGGCTGACGATGAACATATTCGTGACGTTTCGCAGTTTGCTGCTGTGATAGACAGCCAGTATCACCAGCACGTTGCCCAGGACCACCATCACGTTGACGATCGCGAGCACGATCAGGGTAACCAGGATCCACGGGCCGGACCACTCGACGCGCTCGTACAGGGCAGCACATGCGGTCGCGTTCAGCTCTCGCATTTTAGTTGGCAAGCTGTCGCGCCGCGTCTCGAACCACCGACGACCACTTCCGGCTGAACAAACACCCACCGAATCCGCACCCTCCAGCGACTCTAGTGAAAGAAGGTCGCACGATCGGCTGGATCACCTCCATCGCGACGCGACTGACGATCGATCGATCAACGACTGATCATCGCTCGTTTCCAAGCGATCTCATCCTTCGCGTTCGACCAACAGCTCGATCCTTTTTCCTCCTTTCTCTCTCTCTCTCTCTCTCTCTCTTTCTCGGTGTTCTTTTTCTCTCTTCTTTTTCTCGTTCCTTCGACTCTTTCACGAAAATTTTGAGACCGGGCTTCGGGGTTGATCTTCGATCGTCTTTGAGGGTTTGTTTGCTTGAAGAGTTGAAGCGAGAGCTACTATAAATTCTTTGCGTTCTTGTTTCCTTTTTTTTTTTTCTTAGTTTCGTGCTCTTTGAATATTTTGGAGAGTTTCTTTCTCTCTTGGTTTCAATTCGGTATCGAATTCTGAGTATTTTGGAGAACTGATGGATTTTTGGAAACTAAGGTATCTTTTACAGTTCTTTCAATGCTTCGCGTTCCTTTTCTTTTTTTTTTTCTGTTTACAGAAGGCTGTTGATTGATCAATATTTTAAAAAATTGTTGCAAACGATAGCAGATGGTAGACGATTCTTTGTCCTCTAAATGTTGCAGAAAATTTTGAACGTTCTGCGAGGTTGTCGAGATTTCTTTAATTAACTGAGATCTTTATACGCCCCGGAGTACTTGCGAGTTAAAGGAACAATGGGATTCTTTGTCTTTCTCATTTGCTTGAGTTTCCTAAATGTTCTGGAAGATTTATCATTTCCTCGGTCGGATATAACTTTTAATTGGAAGCTAGAGACGGATTCCTCGAATGTTTCAAAGGATTTACGGTTCTTTGTATTTAAATTTTAGTCGGCTGTTAATTATCGGATTCACGTTCACGGGGAGAATCGAAGACGCAGGGGAAACGACGAATCCTCTTCTCTATTTCCAGCAACCTTTTATTTTCTGGTTTTGATTTAATTTGGTCGGTCTTCTCTTTCTCTTGCTCCTCCGCAAACTCTTCTCTTTCAATTATCTCGCTTCAAGTTCGCTCAGTAGTAAACAACCGCTGACATAGTCTCGTGAAAACACAGTCAAAAGTAGAAGATCCCATCGAGATTGTCCCTTTAATCCGTCAAACCTTCCAAATAAATACTTCACTAATCACTTTACCAATCCCTGTTCATATTAATCATGCCCAACAATCATTCCAACCTTCTCTCGCCTATTTTTTTCGTCAAATATCGACACATTTATAATACTCGTAGGAAAATTCCTCTCGTTAAATCTGCAATATTTCCAACCGACTCAGCTCGCGGGAAAGAACAATCAAACCTGTTAACGTCCTCGAGAGTCACTATTCACCGTCGACGAACGCCATCGTTGGCAACAGAAGCTCGTCACTTCCCACGGAACTTCCTTCGACCGTGTCTCGATCCTTTTTACTTCAGCCTCGCCCGTCGTCGCGCTCCTCCAGGCGGCTAATTTCCCTCAACGTTTGATTTCCCGTATTGTTCCATTCGTCGACCGGCTAACTTCCCCTCTATTTCGGCTCGCAGTTTGCTAAACGGATCAGCCGGTCGCCGCCAGCCGGATTAGCGCGGATCGATCGATCTAATTACTTCTTTCAGCCGGGGGGAATTTTCGCTAATGGAACCTGACTCGGCTGAGTCACCCTTCTTTTCCCTCGCGCTCTATAAACGTACCTATTTAAACACAGAGACCATCCGAGCGTCTTCGAGTCATCCGGCAAGCACCTACTACTTGCGTTATCCTCTTACTTCTGACTTTTCGGCGGAGAACTCACCGGTCGCCGAAATCCAAAGAGTCTATCGGCTCTGTTGAATTTTCAAATGAAAGTTCGAAATTTGTCACTCGACTCTTCTCGCGGCTTTGGGCGACACCTGTTTTTGTTACGTTCTGTTCTATTTTATTTTCAAAGTCACTCTCATTGACGATCTCCTTGTCGAGGAGTAAACGCGCCACACAACCTTTGGTACTTCAGTTCGTACTATCGATTTCGTGGAATCTTTTTTTTTCAAGATTCGATATTTATCATTTCACATTCGCGTCTTTTACACACGACATTTATTTCTGTTTTATATTCAAGAGGGGGCTTTTCAATCCCCAGGAATTAATGCACAACCCTTTGGTTATTCGCCTGAGATTATTTCGCTCGAGAGTCTTTCGTTGAAGTTCGGGAAAGAAATTCACGCACACAAACACACACATACACGTACACACCACGCAGAGAAGAGAATTTCAGAGTGTCTATGGATGTTCTTACGATGTCGCGTGAAACTTGATACTCGTGTCTTTAGGTAGTGCTCCGCGTCTGTTCAATTTTACGTAGCCACCCCGTAACACTTCGTTCTTCTCATCAACGAGCGCGCAACCACCCTGTTCGTGTTCCGTGTTTAACGCGAGCACCGGAGAAGCTGCGTCGAACAAGCTGCGAGTCCCACCGATCACCGGAATCGCGTGTCGAAACCGCCCGAGCGTCAAGTTGCTCCTCGACTTTCCAGCACGAACGAATCGCCAATATACGCGATTCAATCCCCTCCCTCCCTGAGACGCCCGGAAAACTCCCTGAAATTATACGAAATAAATTCTTCCGAGGAGAGTCTCGCAGGGGAGGAAGAAAGGGGCAGAGAGAGAGAGAGAGAGAGAGTTCGATCTCTCCCCCTCCCGTTCGATTGAAATTCTATTCGTGTTCTCCCTTCGAGAACACCGCCGGCCCAATTATTTCACCGACACTTCCGGTCTCTCGAGTGCTCGTCACACCCCCCGTCCGACGCTAATTCCAGCTGGATCCTCTCCTTTCGATCGACTTCTCCGCGCCTCCGAGCGGCTTTAACAAGATTTCACTTCGATTTTATTTAAGCTATCCGACGTCGATTGACGCCCCCTTCCCCCTCTTCCAGTTTTCTCACTTTATCCGGCGGACTTCCGGTTCACCGTTCGTCCACGATGGCGCTCGTTCATCTCGCGCTCGTTGCGGGGAAAACTCCTCGAGTTCGACGTGTCACGATTCTACTGCATCGAGTAAATCGCATCGGCACGCTGACGTTGCTCGTTCGATTCTCCTTCTGCCCGTTCCACCATCGCGTCTCTACCCCGGTTTCCTCAGACCTTTGCTCCACGCGATTCGTCTGCAGCCGTTCCTCCTGTTTCTTGGCGTCTTCGCGTGCAAAGGTTCACTCACGAACGTGGAGCAGTCGCGAGAGGCTCTTTCGTCGCTTTGCAATTTCCTCTAAATTTTCTTTTTAGATCGAATTTGCGATGATTTTAGGATTCTTTCGGACGCGTTACAGCGAAGTGGAACCGTATGATATTCGTAGAATTTTTTTTTCTTTTTTTTTTTTTTTGTTTTTTTGGTAATCGTAGCTTCTTTGGTTTTGTAATCAAAATTTGATACAGCTGTAATACTCTGGAATTAATCCAGCGCTCCTTTTTGTAATCTCTTTTTCTTTTTCGCGCGAGAAAGATGATTTAGAAGAAGAGCGAAGAGAAACTGCGTGACTTTCGTTGAATTTTGATAAAGATAAAATTTTCTTTACTTTCGCAAGTAAATTTCTTCTTATCTATATAAAAATTTCTTTGACCTGTTAAATAGAGGAGAACTGAATTTCGTGGAAATTTTCGATAAGAACGAGATTCCCTCGTTTCCGCGAGATTTTTGAAATTAATTACAACTCCTTCGACGTCGTTAGAATTAGCTTGTAAGAAAGAGCAGTTTCTTACAGTAGAATTCTGATAGAAACAAATTATTTCGTTTTCGTATTAAATTTTTCGAATTAATTTGCTAATCTTTTAATACTTCTTTGACTTACAACAAGAGGAACACTGCCCGTAGAATTTTAATCAAATTCCTCTCTTCTTCACTTTCTCAATTCGCTAGTCATAATTTCTCTTTCGCACTTCGTTATTCCACTGTAATTCCTTAATATTTCTTTGATTCCTCGCTTGAACGCGCCTTTCGCCGACAGTTTTCGCGCTCATAAATCACAGAATATTAATTAAAGATATTAATTATTCACGTTCGAAGTCTCCTTAAGTCGCCCTCGGTGTAACGCTCCCCAAGTTCCAGAAGCTACTTCCTCGAATTAAAAATAAGGTCTCTCTTTTCTCTTTTTTTTCAAACTTCCGCCTCGAGTTCCAACGCCTTATCGTAAGTTTGTGAACTACTTCGGCGAAACAATTTTCGTGCAACCGTCGGCCGCGCGGACGCCGGAAAATCGACGTTGTTCACCAATCGACGTTCTCGCCCGTGTCGTTTTTATCACCCGTGTTTCACGAGAGTTTCGAACGTCTTTCTTGCCACGACGGAAGACGATGGATCCGCCACGATTTCCGGATACGGTGTCTCGTCGCTCGCACAACGTATTTTGGCAACAGCGCCGGCAAATTAGTCACGTTCGGGCTTCTTCCCGAACGATTTCACGGCCTCGTGGCTTCGCTACCGAGAATTTCTCAGCTTCCCCCGACTGTGTCCTAAATCCGTGCACCGTTTTTGCGATGAAATCCAGGAGATCTCGTTCTCCTAACGAGTCCAGTCTTTTCGCGGATCGCGTGATACGCTGTTCAAGTTTTCACAGACTCGGAATCGCGGAATTTGATTGTTTTGAAACAACCGAGAAATCTCGTGACTGACTGGAAAATTGAATTCTTTCCTTCTAAATGTTGATTTGGAAATTTCCTGGCCACAAGAATTTTGTAATAAGTCGCAGAATCTCGAGATTCCTTCCCTCGAGACGACTCTTTCTTTTCTATTTCTTCTCAATTATTTAAATCATGAAAATCGAATATCAAATTAATGGCACTTTCACTTTCAAATTCCTTTCAGTCCAAGAATCCCGCAACAAATTGGAAAACAATGTAAAATCTAGCCACTTCCTTTCAAATTTCCGATATTTAGAATTCGCTTTTTAACCTGTCATTTTAATTTCCTTCTAAACCTACTCTCATTATTTTCGTTCTCGGAATCTTTGAATTTTTAAATTGAGAGAGATCTTCGATAACAAATGAAAATCTCGCAAGTTTCTTTCTGAATCGGATTCTTTCCAAAGCTCGTTCCTTCGACTTCCTTTTAAACTGATGGATATTCAGATAATGGACCAACTTTGGAATATCACGTTCCCTTCGTACACCCTCTGATTTTCCTCTTTCTGAAGCTCGAAGATCTCACTCGATAGATCGGAACACCACTTCGATCGACCGGAAAGTTTCACCGTTGCCGCTTTTACGGGAATTTTTAAAGAGTTTCGGGTTTTCTCGTCCGCACTTCGAAGCCTCAAGATACGTCCTCTTTTACACGAGTCGCTAACTATTCGAAAAATTCTCTTCTTTAGCTCGAAAAGCTTAACGAATTTAAGGCTGCCCCTCGTAGTTTCGTATGCAAACTTTTCTTCCTCTGGCTACCTTAGTACTTTAGTCGAATTCTTATTTTCGAATATAAATTACTTGTGTCTTTTGCTATAATCGAAACAACCAATTTTTCAGCGTGATTCGATTTTTACTATTTTCAAACAATTTTATAGAAAACCTCTTCTCGCAACAACAATCCCTTATTAGAACTTTTTATACAATTTGTATTTGTTCGTGCTACATTTTTTGACGGATCCGAGTCAGTCTAAATTTCAATCAGTTTAAAATTTGGAAGTTTTATTTTTTTAAAACAGCAACTCTTTGCGGGAATTTTCGTCGTTCGTTCTTTATACCTAATTCAAATTCTCATTCAATTCTACGTTTTACAATCTTCGATAACAATTTTATTATTTCATTTTGAATCTTTATTTCATGTATTCCTAAAAGGTTCACTTCAGAACTCAGAGTTCTTCGTTAGTTTATCTTTTTCTTTTTTATTCGACTCTGCTCCAAAAATTCTTCCTCAATTTTTCCTTTTATAGTAGCATAACTTAAATGTATAATTCATGACGTCTATTTCACCGTGGTGACTTACTTCAGTCTCGAAATTCAAATTTCAAATCTTCTTCAGTTCTTCTTATAATCAGTAAGCTTCTGAGAATTTCTCCAACTTGTGACTCATGCAAATTTCAATTACGGATCTGATTCCTTTCCGATCCAGGACAAAAGTTGTCCACTTCAATGAAGTCCAAATTTCTCTCAACTTTCTTTAAATTACAACGCTTTGACCAGAACAAAAAAAATCTTTTCCAGCCTCCCTTTAAGAATTTCGTAAATTTACAGCTCGCGTCGCGTTTCACAGTCCTCAGTGTCCACTCCGGTCCATTCAAGATTCCCAAATTAAACCTAGCTGTTCCCCAGTGAGACTAAAATTTTCATTCAGTCCCTCTGAATCGCAGCTTTCCTCGCAAAGTCAAAACACTTCCTTCATCCTACTTCTCTATAGCAGAAAGTCCCACAGAAATTGCCCAGAATTAATAATTCATATCATCATTCCAGCAAAAAGTTTCGTCCAAAATGGTGTTCTCTCAATAGAAATCTTTTTCTACGAATTTCGCAAATCTGTGACTCGCGTCGTATATTTCATAGTATATTTCGGTGTCGTAGGCTTCAGTCCGTTCAGAATCCCAAATTAAACGACTGAACTAACCCGGTTTTCGTCGGGTCCGATTCGAGTCGCAGCGTTTCGCCGAAATCAAAAATCCAGCATCGGGCACTGTCAGGTGTTTCTCGAAGCCAAGTCCTGAAGAACGACTCCTATTGGGCGACGTTCCCCCGCGGAACGATCGATAGCCGCGGAGTTTACAATCACGAGCGTATTCTTCCGCGTTCCCAGCCTCGATTCCCGCTCCCTTGATCACTGTACACATAGGACACACACAGCCGCACTGACACACGCGTGCACACACATATACACACGCGATTGACTTCGTTTTCTTCTTCTTTCTTTCTCTATTTATTTCTCTTCTTTTTCTTTTTTCTTTTGTAACGCGAGACTCGAACACGTAATCGTAATCGTAATCACAGCCACAGCGGATGACCGATCGATCGGAGATCGATTGATCTCTTCTGGTTTGACAAACAACTGTGCTTGGAGGTTTGTCACTGTTTCTCAGAAGGACGAGAAACCGAGGATCGACTAAATGATCTTCCGGCACTTGGCGCGATGCGTGTACCTCAGCAATCTGAAGCGCGTCTCCTCCTCGATGCGCTTCGCTCGCATTATTTTTCCGAAGGTGTCGATGGCTCTTCTCGGTACGATCCGCTTGAGAACCGTGTTCCTAGGGCGTGCTTCGTGAAATCTGAAAGAGAAATTGGTTTTCGGACTTCAGATTGATGTTACATTATAATTAATAAGTCGTGCAGTTAATAAATAAACTGTGTTATTTAGATTAATGTTTATATCAACTGTATAATTAAGAGATTCTATAGAATTATGAATTTCCCGCAATTTCGAATGTTCAAGTCTTTTCTACTTTTTTAGAAAGGTTTACATATTTTATTACTGTGGACATTTTTGCTGTTATGTCGTAATTAATAACTGTATAACTAATAAATAAACTATATCATTTACGTTAATGTTTGTATCAACAAACTGATGATTAATAAATTCTACAGTGCATGGATTCCTCGAAATTTCGAATGTTCGCATTCAAGTATTTTTTGTTATAAAATTTCCAAAATTATTTTAATTATTTTAATTATTTATTCGAGCTGTTTGTACAACTATTACACTGGTTAATCGAAATTCTGTTGTATTTTAATACAACTTAATACTGTAAAGACGTTATTGCAATGTCGTGTGATTTTCATAAGGTTAATGATTCGTCACGTTACCGTGATTTTCAATGGTGGCGCTACAGTAGCGTCATTTTATGATTTTACGGTTATAAATCCGTAACAAAACTTGTCAGTTTTCTAGTGAAATGTATTAGGTTGAAAAATATGCAGAATCAATCGTTATAATATTTAGAAATATATACATGGAATGAAAAAAATAGATATCCAATTCACCTTTAAAATGTTACGAATACGATGCATTTTAAAAGTTTTATGAATTCTGCTTATGGAAACAGAACCTAAAGAAAAGTGTTTCATCTGCTCTATATTATACATTTCACTTTGCATATTTTATATAGAACTTTTTTCACATTATACACATTCGAGTATCCATTTTTACAACTCCCAGTTACAAATGTGTAAAATAAAATGTGCATCTCAGTTATGAAGTTACTTTATTTCAAAAATTTTAGGCAACACCGAAAATTTCTTTCTTCTTTCTTTTTGAAAATGAACAATAAAAAAGCAAATAAAACAAATATACGTAATCGATCCTATTAACATAACCAAATATACAATGCACGTTATATCACAGAACTGTATCTACTAAAAAACAGAAACGATCGAAAGAAAGAAAAATAAAAGAAAAGAAATTACAAAACATTCGAGAACGAGCACATTTCCATTTCCAGTATATTTCAACGCAAACACATATATCTCTGTGAAAGATGCGGGTGTGCACCGCGGTCAAAAGATGATTTCGTTCACGCAGCAAGCGGAAACCGCATTGGGAATGGACAAGGATCGCTGAAATGCGAATTCACGCGAGGCTGCGCTCCACGAATTAAGGCACGCCATTTTCGCTCACCGATGTATGTCCAGCTTTTGTCTTCGACGCGATTTTTCTCCTCCCCCTTTTTTTTTTCACTACCTCTCCCTTATTCGGCCATCGACGAAAATCGTCCACGTACAATAATTGCATCCGACTTCGTGTCTTTTTGTCTCTCGTCCCCTGCCCCTTTTTACAATTCGGTAATTGACCGAGGAGAAAATTGTTCGTTCTCACGTGATTAATGAAATGATCGATAGAATCAGGTTTCATTCAATTGACAATTACATTCGAGGCGTTGTCGATTTGAAACTTTTTTCGTAAATAGAACGAATTAATCGTTTGCAAATCTATCGAAGAGTTTTTTGTTTTTTTTTTCTTGTTTCATTCCATTTTTTTTTTTTTTTTTTTTTTTTTNTACTTTACCTGACTCGTCATCTGTCGTTTCATTCCAGTCCATTAAACAAACGTATAGAAGCAAGTTTTTTTTTTTTTTTTTTTTTTTTTTTTTAACGTCGAATATCATTCAAGAACAATGTGAACTGTGTATATCGAAATTCGATGGGAAGAATCGGCCGACCGAGCGTGCACCTATTCCACTTGCTCGGCTTCACCGAATCGGGCAAATTAAATTTCCAATTGTTTCGGCCTACTGTAAAATATACAGGGTGTTCTGTTTATCTCGCAAAATGGAAACACCTTGCCAGGGATTGAAGTTGTAGAGAATGTTCCTACAAAACTTGTCCGGTACAAAGGGGATGCTAATTGTATATTTGTGCATGAAGTGATAAAATCGTGTAATTTTGAATGAAGTGGGTATTCTCTGTAGAAAAGTATTAACCTACTTATGTCGAACAATCTTAGGAGATAGTTTCACTTTAATTTTATGAAGCTTATCGCATGAAGGATAAAGACATAGACCAATATCTTTCCTTAGCTTTCACGTAATAGACTTTACAAAATTCAAGAGAAAATATCTGATAAACTAATGGATTTTTCAACGTACATACGGATGATAATACGATAGCAGTTTATGCGAAATGTTTCGTTCGCTCTCTTTAAATTTTCACAAGCAAAGTTACTTTTGAAAATTAAAATTATAAAATTATTCGTATTATAACATGGAAGATGAAAATGTAGAACGAAGTTTTTTTCTATTTCTTAATCTGTGGCTTCTAAAAATTTATAAGAAATTTTAATATGTATAAACATGTTTAAACATATAAATATATTTATCTTATATATAAAATATACTTTTAATTAATATTAATATTATACTTCAATATGAATATTATTTAATAGAAATACGTAAATAATTATATAACATTCACATACATTGACTATAATTAACATAAATAATGTTCAATGTAATTTTAATATTAAATGTACATAATATTTTAATATATGTACATTTGAGTTACGTATTTAATATTTGAAATTTAATATTGGACACTGGTCGAATATCTGGAACTCTCACTAAAGTGGTTTTCTATGATCGGTGTAGTAAAAATCAAACAAGTTCATTATCTTAATACTTATCGCGAAAATGTTCAGTAATACTTATCATTCAGAGAACAATACCCGGCTGATATTTCAGTGTGGGTTGAACGTCTGGAAATTTCAGTTAAGTGACTTTCTATGGGCAGAACAGTAGAATAGATCGGTGACTAGTCAGACGGGTGAGATGACGTACTTACTTGGCTGGGCAAATAGAATCGGGCAGAGCCTGTTATTCAAGTAGTACGCAACCATGTCTACACAGACGGCCAATGAAAGACAGTCTTCCGTAAAATCTTCGATCAAAGCATCATTTGGTTATTTGGAAAATAAAATAAACGATTCGATCTATCGTCATCAACGAACGTTACTATTTATTTAGATTATGAAATGGTCGACGACACGTGAGTAATTTCACATGAAATATTGGCACGGCTTTGAAATTAGTGGAACAAAGTAGCGAAAGATGGCCCCCAGAAAAAGAAAAAGAGGAAACGAGAACTCAGATTAAACGAACGAACTCGAAAAACACGAAAGCACGTAAAAATACGCGAACGAATGCAAATAAGCGTGGCTATATTCTTTCGTCCTCTGTAAAAACAGAGATATCCTTCTCTGGTTGTTGGTGTTTTTCGGTGCGTGTTCTCTTTTACAGAAACGGAACGATCTACGAACTGGATAAAATTAAAAATTCTGGAACACCAGTGATTACGATAATTAAAAGCAAGAGTTTCCCCTTTTACTCAATCATTAACGATCGTTCAAGTAAAAATTATTAATTAAGCGATTAGTAAATTAATTAAATTGACTTTCGATTTTTTATTAAACGTCTGATATCAATATTGTCATTCGAAAATAGAAAACTTTCATGTTGCACAAAGTTTCGTTTATTCTGTAATATTTGTAACATCAGCATTTGTATCGTCATTGTATCGTCAATTATTCAAGATTAAAATTACAAATAAATAATAAATTATAACAAACGTATAATGTAATATAATATAATAAAAAGTTATGAATAATAACAACAATCATATGTATACATGTAATTTCATTCTTTTCAGAAAAAAAGGAAGAAACATAAAATTATTATGAATTTTACACACTCAGAGTGATTTAACTCCTCCAGGGACTCGTTCGTGTACATTTAAATCCAAATCATTCTAAGTGAAAAAAATATTAAAAACTATTCGCTATTCACTACAGAATCCCTCAACAATGAAAACAGAAAACTTCCTGCCGATAAAAAATGAATAAATTCAAACAAAAAGTTAAATCATCTTTTCTTCGCTTTAAAAAATTCATCCCCGTGGAGGATTAAATCCCTTGAAACAACTCAGCTTTTCAATCATTACGCGAGACCGAGACCGCGATAACAAATAACTATGTTCGATTCCCGCAAGCCTAATCTCGAGGCACGATCGACACGGGGGTGAGAAATACGCGACCAAAGGTTGGACGAGCAGGAATGGAATCAGGGATTTCCACGGATAACGATCTGTCCAGAGAGTTTTCCATTTTTTCCCTTCTTCCTTTTTTTTTTCTCTTTCTCTTTTAGCTTCGCTTTTATTTCCGGACGAATGATTCCGAGGCACCGGTGAATCGACTCGCGATTTCAACTGGTAATCCGCGCAAAAGACCATAGGAGGGATTATTCCATGGAAACGCGTTCGATCTTTTATCCTTTCGCTAACATTCACGATGCGAATCTAGCACAGTTCTGCCAGCGGAGTTGGAGATTCATTTTTTAAGGGTTGAAGCGGGCATGAGTTACGACGATACGAAGACGTAAACACCAAGGGACTATGAATTTTGTTGAAAACTTGATCTAAATTGCGTTCTTCTTCATTTCTGAGCCATTTACATATCTCGAACGTCGAAAAGTAAACAAGTTCAAACGAAATATAAAAAAATTCCCACGCACGATTCTTCGATTAAATTTCATTCTAATCATAGGTTAAAAGTAAATGAGGATTTGGAATTTAATTGACTTGGTCATTACACGTTGCTCTAAATCTAATAAATATCTTTTTAAATATATTTATATAAATATAAATATATAAATATAAATAATTTTTAAAAATTATATATAAATATATATTATATATAAATATAAATAATTTTTAAAAATTAAATATTTTTATATAAATATAAGTAAATATATTATATTGCAAATATTCGTTCTCGCAGTTTATC